CCCCGATGCTTGTGGCCTACAGCTGACACTAATGATGATGGAACCACAGTATCCACGCAACCCCAGCTTATCGGCGCACCCCTATACTGGATCAACCGCCAGCTCTACTATGCCTACATGTCCCTTACCAAGCAGTCCTTCGGGCTGCTCATCACCACCATGACCCACTGGTGGGGTCCGACCACGATACGCATCAGCGGCGATGCCTCGGTAGCCGATCAGATTCGCAAGACGGATGATGGCTTGGTGGAATTTTCCTTCCCCGAGCGCATGGTTATGATCGCCAACCACCAGGTGCGCAACATGGCTTTGGGTTTGGGTGCACAGCTTGCGGGGGGCTAACATGACATGTGCAGATCTACACCGACTGGCTGTATCTGTGGTGGGTCGGCTACGCGAATGCCCCCAAAATGCACGGCTCTCTCTTCATCATCCTAAAGGAATCCCTCAAGTATATTCCCATCGTCGGGCCTGGCATGATGTTTTACGGCTTCATTTTCATGTCGCGGAAGATGGCCGTAGATCAACCCCGGCTGGCCCACCGTCTACAAAAGCTGAAGACATCGCACACGGCGCCCGACGGGAAGAAATATCTTGATCCGATGTGGCTGTTGTTGTTCCCCGAGGGAACCAATGCGTCACAGAACGGGAAGAACAAGTCGGCAAAGTGGGCGGCCAAGATTGGCGTGAAGGACCCGGAGCACATGCTGCTCCCCCGGAGCACCGGCACCTACTTTTGCCTCAACGAACTCAAGGGCACCGTTGACTACATTTACGACTGCACCGTAGCCTACGAGGGGGTCCCGTACGTATTTTTTCCATCCCCTGTTGACTTATGAATGTACCAGCTAACAAATCCCTCCTCAGCCGTGGTAAGTTCGGCGAGAGGATCTTCACCCTTGCAGGAACCTACGTCAAAGGGCAGACACCCAAATCGGTCAACTTCTACTGGCGCCGCTTTCTTATCGACGACATCCCGCTCGACACCCCCGAGGAGTTCGACATTTGGCTGCGTGAGCGGTGGTACGAGAAGGATGCTCTCATGGAGCAATATGTGTCGACCGGCCGCTTCCCCCCGAACCCTGCCGAGGCCGTCACAAAGGGCCAAGAGCCCTTCCTCGAGACCGAGGTGCGGACAAAGTACCCCTGGGAGTTCCTTCAGATTTTCAGCGTGCTCGGCGCGTTTGGTTTGATGATCAACTTCTTCCTCAAGACCTGGAACCGTTTTGTTTCGGTGCTATTCTGATATCCTGAGCTTCGGCGTTTTGGAACGAGATACCCCCTCCACTCTCACCTGGATTATGCTTATACGGACGCGATGCGATTTATGAGGAGGGGAAGGAAAGGGCGGGCATTGGCGTTTGCACTTTGGTTTGCCGAAATCGAGATTGGTTTTGCGCAGTGGACTCTTGGAAACGGGATTCCTGCGGCTGGCCCTAGAAATACGGCTGGGTTTGCATTCGATACCTTGGGTTGGCGTTCTGACGGGTGGAAGGAATGGATCATATGGGGAAGAACGAGTCTGCTGGTGGTATATCCGTTTTAGAAACACTACTTACATGGTATACGGAGTATGGATTTTAACGCACCTCTCAACCCTGAGGATCAGGAAACGGTTCGGCCTCTTTTCCTTCGTGACTGACCTCTGCGTATTTAGTGATAAGTCTGCTCAATGTCGGCCGGCACCGCTCTCGAGAGTCGGAACGGTACCGGAGCCATGGGTGGAGATATCCCGGTTCGGCATCGTGACAACCGCTCCGATCCAAGACACCGCTCGGCACGGGAGAGAATGGACGTCGACATTCTTCAACGGCCATATGACCTCGTGCATCTGTCGGGAACCAATCGGCTTCATCCTACCTCCCCCGGGGGTAGCGGACCCACGGGGCGACTCCAGTTCATGCACAATGTTGGCCTAGATTTGGAAGGACATCCCTCACCTCTCTCGTGTTCTGCATGGGGGTTGCGGCTCTTGTTACCCTGCCTTGTTGGGTAAAGGGCGTCTGGGCCCGGCCGAGGGAGCTGTTGGAGGCGTTCTCCTTGGCCAGGCACCTCGTCGGCATTCGTTGGTTACACCGCTTCCATTGTTAAAACCTGCAGCATGGCCCGGGTATGGTTACCGGGACTAGAGAGCCCCGGTCTGGCCTGCCTATGGGTGATATTGGTTTGTCAACCCTCGACCGCTGGCTCATGCTGCTGTCGTGATGTGACGAGAAGGCAAAACTTGCGACTTGGGAATGTTCCAGACCGCCAAAGGGGGATGGATGAATGCTTAGAGCGTCTTGGCTCCGGACTTCGACTTACACACAAACCGTATTCCCGGAAACCGTCTCCACTTGAGGTCGGCCTTCACGTCAAGCATCATGAGCATGTCGAGCAATGAAGGCAGTATCATATCTCATTCTCACACTTTATGAGCATGCTGGTTGCTGCCCTCAAACCTCCGTTTGGATATGCATCAAGCATCACAGCCGGCACGGGAAACAGGACCGCTTAAGCGACTGGGAACCCACTCTCGCCGATGCCCTCCAGACCGGACGATCTCTAACCAGGGCTAGACCTTGACCCACGTTCGCCGATGAAACCGGAGGGCCATCGGACCCCTCGGGCCCGGCGCTACGGACCGTCATCGGAGGGCAATGACACATGGACTTTTCGAGACGGGAAGGCATTCAGTCAATGGCAGTTCCGCCAGAAAGGGGATGCCGACCAAGAATCGTGCAAACTGCACCGTATGCCCTCAAAGGGGTCGATGTGCGCATAACTAACAGGGAAGCAAGACTGGACGGCGGCTGCCATGCCCTGCGCAGGATGCCACTGTGCTAGTCGCAGACATGGCTCTCGCAAGAGCGCAGAAGGGAATGATGTTCTAGAATTCTTCAAACTGCGGTCTCGCCAGAAGTTGGCCAAACCTGGCAATCCCCTACTTGTCGTCATATCGGAGGCCAGTGTCGGATCCTTGCTAGGACTGTGAGGAGGGTAAACGGAATCCCAATTCCGACGACGGTATAAAAGGGAGCTGCCATGCTCGAATCGTATCTGTACCAAAAGCTTGCCATCCATGGCCCATCGCCCCTGAATCGCCGATACAAACATTTTTGCCGTGCCAGCCACCACTGGTGTTAACTCCGCCCTTTCCCATCAGTCATCATTTGTTGCCCTCTCCTATCGCAACCATGGAGAAGGGAATTCACGATGAAGGGGCCGAAAAGAAAGGCCCCATAGTCACGACCTCGAGCAGTAGCAGTAGCAGCAGCACGAAAAGCGAGACCGCGCCATCCTTGACAGACAACCACCGACGCTCGCCCTCGCCGGCCTCACCACAAATAGACTACACCGTTGTCTCGTTCGAGCCCAACGACCGTACCAACCCCCACAACTGGTCAACAGTAAGCTCTCCTCTTGCTTTCCCTTCAGACAACACCCATTCACCTGCCCCGTATCTTTTTCCCTTCCCCTCCCCTACCCCTTTCCAACCCCCAATTGCATCCCTGCCCATCACCCCCTTTCTTCACCCCCCCTTAACCTCTTACCCCCTCACCTCCCAAACCCCCTCCCACCCCACCAAAGCTAACCCCCTCCCCCCAACCCCACAGCTAACCAAATCGCTCATCTTCCTCTCCGCCTTCCTCTCCACCACCACGACCTCCTTCTCGTCCACCCTCCCCTCCAACTTCGCCCCCTCCCTCCCCACCATCTTCGCCGTCGCCGACCCCTCCGGCCCGCAGCGCGTGCTCCCCGCCTCGCTCTACCTCGCCGGCTACGTGTTTGGGCCCCTGGTCTGGGCCCCCCTCAGCGAGTCCCCGCTGGTGGGGCGGTGGCGCGTGTTGGCGGTGGGGGCGGGATTGTTCGTGGTGATGAGTTTGGGCCAGGCGGCGGTGAGGGAGGGGGATTGGGTGGGGTTTTTGGTGTTGCGGTTTTTGGGGGGGGTTGTGGCCTCGCCGCCGGTGAGTGTTTTTGGGGGAGTGATTGCGGATTTGTTTGAGGGGGAGGTGGTTAGGGGGAATGTCATGATGTGGTGGTGAGTTTGGGGCGTTTTCTTTTTTCTTTTTCTTTTTCTTTTTTTTCTTTTTTTTTTTTTTTTTCGATACTTGGGGCCAGATTCACCTTGTTCCTTGGGAGGATGGGGGTTTAAGCGGGCTGTTTGGGCTCAGGGAGACTAACACCATCGTCAGGTCCGCAACAACATTTGTTGGCCCCCTGGGTGCCCCGATATTGGCCGGCTATGTGAGCACTGCGCTGGGGTGGAGGGCGGTCTTGTGGTAAGCATGCTTTTGCTTCCCTTTCTCGGCGTCGAACGCTGCTAAGCTGTGTCTCAGGATTGCGCTGGCTCTGGCCGTTGCCTCATTCATCGGCGTTCTCCTCATGCCCGAGACATTGGCGTCTACTATCCTTAGGAGAAAAGCGGCACGGCTGAATAAGGAGTTCTCAGAAACCGGGAAGCTTTTCGTAGCACCGTCGGACCTGAAGCAGGAGAGCGCTTGGTCAGAATACGTGAGTGAGCCTCATAACAAGACGGCCCCTGGATGAGATGATAGAAGAAGCCGGCTGATATTAGTGCAGAAAACGACCTTATCAAGACCGTGGCGCCTGCTCTTTGGGGAGCTGGTAGTCTCACTCTCCTGCGCGTACCTGGGCTTTGTATATGCCGTCTTCTACATGTAAGTCCACCACGGAACCCCTACTATCCTGCCCTCACCACTAACACGCCCAAGGCTCCTGCAGATCTTCCCGCGCATCTTCCAAGGCGTATACGACTTCACCCCTGGCATCTCCGGCATCATGTTCACCATCAGTACGCCCGCCACCCCCAAACTCCAACCCCCTTTCTCATAATACTGGCCCCTTCCTTACAATACTGACCCCCGCCCGAAACAGTGGGCCTCGGCACGGTCATCGGCAGCTGCCTCTTCGTCTGGTACGACGGCGTGGCGCCACGGCTGAGCGCAAAGCACCCGACCCAGCGCGAGGAGTACCTGCGGCTGCCGCTGGTGTGCGCCGGCGGGCCTGTCTACGTCGCCGCCATGCTGTGGCTGGGCTGGACCGCGCGCGCCGACATCCACTGGATGGTGCCCCTGTCCGCCATGGTCCCCTACGGTCTGGCTTATCACCTGATTTACGTGGGTATTGTCAACGTGAGTCGGCCCCTTTTTGTTTTGACCCCTTAAAACCCCTCTTAACCCCCATCCCTTTCCCCTAACCCCCACCCACGTCCCCCCACCCCATCCCACCGGTTAACCCCCAACTAACCATACGCCACCAGTACGTCGCCGACGCCTACGGCATCTACTCGGCGTCGGCCCTCGCCGCCATGAGCATGACGCGCAGCGTGCTGGGCACACTCCTCCCACTCGCCGTCGAGGACATGGCCGACGGGCTGGGCATTGCGTGGTCGTGCACGCTGCTGGCCGGCGTCAGTGCCGGGCTGGCGCTGGTGCCGTTTGGGTTTGTGGCGTTTGGGGAACGGATCCGGCGGGGGAGTCGGTTTAGTGCGTCGTTGAGGGGGGTGGAGGTTAAGGAGGGAGGTGGTGGGGAGGACAGGGAGGGGGGTGCTGCTCCTGGGGCTGGGGTTGGGGTTGGGGTTGGGTTGGGGAGGGTGACGAGTTTGTCGGCGGTGTGAGGGCTGAGGCGGGTGGGTGTGAGGAGGGGGAGTGGTGTTTTGGGGCAAGAGTGATGACGTGAAAAAGCTGGTGGAGGTGTATTTCGTGCGGACATGGAGCTCCGTTTTGGAAAGATAGACTGTCTGGAAATAGAAAAAAAGGGTATTTACGGTTCACAAGTTATCTCATCACCCGAAGTACCTCACGGAACAGGACCGGGCATAGCGGAGACTAACGCAGGATATCTCCGGGAACGGGGCTGAGTCAGGACCCTTCGGTCTTCTGACTTGTCTTGCACCCTCAAAGACAGCTTCTTTGTATGTAGGAAGTCAAACTAGGCAAAGCAAACATGCATGTGTGCGGGGTGGGAGAGTGGGTGTCCCACGACGGCAGTAACTTTGAGTAAATATTGAATAATAGTGACAAGAGAGGAGTTCGGTCCGCCAGCTGGAAAAGGGGTTGGCTGGAGGGGGGATGGGGTGTAAGAAACCCACGGCGGCCCATCCACCTCCACCCGGCCATATTGCAGTCGATATTGAATTGTACCAACGTACGCTAGCTTCCGCGCCTTAGCCGCGGCCCTGAAGAATGAAATTGAATGTTACACTGGCTGCGTTGTCGTCGACTCGGTCGGGGCGTGGGATCTCGGTAAGAAGCTGCACCATGTATCGTTTTCGATGTCGGAGATTTTGCATGTGCGGGGTTTCCTGCATTCAGTTGTGTAACGTGGCACTCGCTACTGGCCCTTTTCAAGTCCTCGAGTCGCATGGGAGGATCTGTTGGGCAATGCAGCTTCCAAACCGTTAGTCAGGGCTCGTAAAATGTGCTCGATCGCCAACCGCATGTAACTAGCTCTCAGAGATTCCCACGTCACGCTCATGTATCCATTTGAAGTATAGCAAGTCAGTAACGGTTGGATTAGTACCTACCAACCCTTCTCTTTTGTCTCAGAGTTCCACTAGACGATGCTGAGGCCCTTGAGCACCTTGCATGTCATTGTCAGACACGCTCTTTCGATTCACCGTACAAACCGTGCAAATGGGGCTCGCTTGACCTAACTCGTAAATCTTGGGGATGGCCCGGGGGACAAACAATAAGCGAGGGGTGACGGTGACGGGTACGTGCCGGGAGGGGTTACCACCACACCAGCCTTTGTCCGTCGATATTATTCGCGATACCGGCAGTTAGCGAGAGGTTGGGTCCGATCTATCAAAGTCCAAGGCGTGATAGGAAGCACTCCTATCTCGGAATGTGCCACTGATGGAAACAAACCTGGGGGTGCGGTTAAGGGAGGGCCAGGGCGAGGGGAGGAAACACTCGATATCAACGAATAGGGGTTTCGAACACATTTTCTGTACCGGTATGGGACAACGCCAAGCGGCCTTTATTCGAGCAGAAGGATTGGTTCAACCAAAACCTTGTGCGGAAGGGTTCATGCTCGCTTCCAGGCCTCGCTCGGCCCGAAACCCTTCGGTGCTTACGCGCGGGCCGCGATTGCATTAGACCAGAGTCAGTACCAGGTGCAAGGGGCAGTTGTCGCAGTATCTTAATGCCCAGGCTGGGGAGTTCAGAAGAGGACGATATCCCGCGGCCAGCGATGGACAAGGTCAGCAGTGAGTTGTGGAAGTATTCAGCGGCATGGCAGTGACATGGAAGGGCACTCTCTACCTTGTTGTTATACACACACAGTCAAAGTAATTCGGTAACTTCGCCTACGACGACTTCATCCACCCATCGTGACGCGAGGACGGATCAAAGACTCCCCGCCCACTCCTTGGATGTTAAAATAGAAGGGCGGCACCCGACCGGTGCTGCCACCGGAGGATCCCCAAATCAAGTAGTGCCCGGTGGTGTAACCAAGATTCCTGCAAAGGATTTGACGCGGAGCATCCTGTTGGTTAGCAGAGTATTCGAGGAGGGTGTCCTGGCGCCGATTAATAGGTCTGAATGCCGCGGTGAGCTGGCTCAGATGACCTCCTTGAGTCCTTGACGCTTGGGGGCGGGGGGCCTGTACCTCATAGGAGGAAACTCGGCGTTTGTCATCCACACGATATTCTGATTAATCAAGGCGATGGCGGTTGATCCGCTGTTCGTTTGCTGTCGACAAGGAGTAGTCAGTGGTGGTTGGGCCTCGTCATCCAAAGATGCCCGACATAAACCCCTTAACCCCGGCGAGGGGGGTACTTAGTACAGACAGCGGTTCCTCCGTGATAGTCCGGTGGTGACAGTGGGGCTGAAAAGATGTGACCCTCACTTACCTTTAAAGCCGAGTCCACAGTGAATCATTGGTTGATAAGTGAGCGTTAACGGCGGCAACTCTTGAATATAGCTCATACCTCCTTTAGTCAATATGGCGCTCAACTTGCCAAGTATTGGCTGGCGGGTATGAAAGGGTGGCGAGGAAGAGGATGCCCGGCAAGGACACCTACTGGAAGATCTACGGCGTCGCTATCCACTTGCGGGAAGTCAGGATATAGACAGGGGTCCGGCTGTCATGTCGTAAACCCGGGGGCATGTCGCGAGAGCCGAAGCCGGGGCAATGTGGCCACCGGTTCGTCTGGTCCTTACTGGAGAGTGGGGTGGGTGGGAGCTCACTAATACCAGACTGATGATGCAAGCTAAGATGCGGGCATATCATTATGGATACCCAAAGCTAACCGGTACGTCGTAATCATGATTTCTGCGCTGAGGCCGGACGGAGGATCTCCATTCCCCTGCCTCCGTCGCACCCACTCCCTCCGAGAACGGGCCGCAACCCAAACACATTGCGTGGTGACAAGGATTTGTAGCCCGGGGCAAAGAAAGGACAGAATAGTCGTAAAAGTTAGACAGAAATGCAGATCCAGCGCCAAGTCTTGACTAGCGCGGCTGTGTCATTGAAAAAAGGGATGAGGATAGAGAAGTCTGAAAGACAAAAGAACGCAACCTCTGCTGGCAATTTCGGCCGTTGTAAACTGAATGCAAAAGTACCTAGAGATATGGCAATCTCCGTGGCGTGTGTCAAGAACTCACATTGTTGACATCGCCGCCATCGTCAAGAACAAAGGCCGCCGAGCCAGCCGTGTACTTGGGTGGCTTGTACACAGGGGTCGGCTTTACTGGATACTGTTTCTCAAGCTCCGGAAAGCCGTTGCCGTCAGGGCCAAACGCGGCCTCCCAAGGCACCCGCATCGGCTGTGGGATCGTCCAAGCTAGCTTTGAATTCCGCAGCCACAAGCGGACAAAATGACGGCCAGGTCCGTCGCTAGGGTCGACATATGAGTCGCGGGCGTGGAGAAGGCTCAGGTTGTTGATGAAGACCATATCGCCCTGCTTCAGGTCCAGACAATACTGATGTTTAGATGCCAGAGCGGAGAGAATCTCGAGGGAATTGAGTTGTAGAGGGCTCAGAGCCGGGACACTGGATTCGGAGCCCGTCTTGGCGGTTGCAGGATGGAGTCCCAGCCGGCCTGGGTCGACGCTGATCAGGATCTTGTCCTCGGACACATGCAGCAGGGGCGCAACGATGTATCGTGGTGGATTTCCCGACCTGTGTTTTGATGGTTAGAAATGTCTCGGAGATTGAGGAAGATGTATGACAGAAGTCAAAATCAAAAACTGGTTCCAACTTACACTTGGATGGGCCAGCTGGGGTGATGTAGCGTCTCCAAGGCTTCCGGATACGACGCGGCGAGCTCCTTGTAAATGGTCCATGACGATGCTACGAAGGTATTCCCGCCAGTCTCGGCCAGCGAGCGGGCATGCAGCGCGAGGATATCGGCTCCCATGTCACAGTGCCAAGCCTGTTGCCGTGTCTAGTCAGCGAAACCAGACTCTAGGATGTTTCCAGAATCGAACTTGCCAGGCTAGTAGTTGTGTGAATGCCATGGCGCATCTCGGGGGGCGTGGTCCAGATCTTGGACTCGGTGACATGAGCTATCGTAATCCAGTCAGTATCGGAACTAGATACCAAGGAAGACAGCAGCCTACTCAGCATGGTGCCCTTCTTGTCTTGGATGCCCCTTTGCTCGCCAATGTAACTGGAAATTGCCAGAAAAATGATCATGTTATCTTCGGCAGTGTACTCCCGTGGGTCGATCCCCCTCACGATGGAGAAACCCCGACCTTGATGGATATCGATGCAAGCACTGGTAAGCTGCGCTTGGATTGTCGGAAGGGGGAAGCTCTCCTGCGTCACGGCATCTGGGCTGAGCCCAAGCTCTATTCGCGGTCAGTTGTTGTCCGGAGCCCCAAAAGTAGGCTGTTACCGACCTCTGAACTTTTTCAAGGCACTTCTCACTTCGGCAGCCCCTTGGTCGCCAACCTGCGTGACGTGCTGAGCTGGGCCGGCGGAATCTTGAGTGTTGACCAAGTCATCGGGCGTCCAAGACATTGGGTGAGAGTTCATGATCAAAAGCCCTTCAGCCATTCTACCAAGGCCGCACGGATTAGTATCAAATTTGGGTAAGAGGATGATATTGTAGGGATTCGTACGACGGCGGTGGCTGGATGGCCCTCGAAGTGTTCTGGGACGGGGGATCCGCGATTGGTGTGGGATACTGATAACTGCTCCATACTGTCGGGAGACGGCGAGATCAAGTATTATGCACCTCCCACGGTGGTGGGGTCATTGTGGAAGCGACGATGTGAGAGCGTGCGGTTGGTCGGCCTGGCATGTCGTTCTTTGCTCCTCTTCGGATGGGTAGCCAGAGGGAGGGGGCGAAGGATGGAGTGGTGGGTTGCCCAGCAGCGTCGAACACGGCGATTCGTTCTGATCGTTCTCCGTCGAGGGTATGGTAGTGCCGGCTGAGGGCTGGGAGGTTTCGTGTCTATCCCGTTATCGCGCGGGGGACTCCGGTATCGTCGTTGTCATCGCCACAGTTATTGGGGCTCGGCAGGATGGCAGGAGACCAGGATGGTCAAGAGCTTTGGGTGGGAGGAGAGTTGAAGCAGCCAGGAGTCCGAGAACGAAGGGCCACCTGACACACTGAACGAGCGAAGGGGCCCCAGGGGGGTTGACAATAACGAACCACAGCAGTGCAGGCAGCGGCACTCCAGTACCCGCCGCCAAGGGGGGTTAGGTACACCCCTGGCGGACCCGGGGAGAACAACGAGCTCATGGTTCCTAGGACTCGCTTTGAACCAATGGGTCCCGCAGGACGCTGGGAGCCCTCCCCGAGAATACCGCGAGTCTCTTGGACGAATAGACAGTGTCGGTTTTCGTCGGAGTAATTGTTCCCATCGTCGGGGGGGAATCGGGGGATGCCATGCGGACGGAGTCAAGCGATTTCAGGTTGGAACCCATGCCAGGATACGGATTGCATGCTGACCTCGTCGTGCTCATAACCATCCAATAGCGGCGCCCTAAGAGACCGGCGAACCCAGAACCCAGATTCGGTTGAGCCAGTTAGTTTCAAACCAACCTCCTTTGCTCGCGCATCGAGCAGAGCCGCGGGGGTTGAAGCGGGGAGGATCCCAAGACCCAAGCGCGAAACACATAATCAGATGATGCCGCTGCTCTTTTACTCGTCGCGCTCAAGTGAGGGCCCAATTCCGACTCATGACCTTGCCTGAAGGAGGCCAGTTCCCGGGGAGATCTTGCCGGATCGGAACGGTCCGCCCGCGGGGCCCACGCCTTAGACTCGCGATGGATCCTGCATTCATCCAGCATCCACACACATGCATCGTGCCCATCGTGCCCATCGTGCCCATCGTCATCCTCATCTTCGCTCCACGACGTTCGTACGCGGGACGTGATGGGGTAGTATTGTGGCCAGCTAACTGACCATTGCCGTGGTTATGATTATAATGCACCAGCCTGAGCCTCGTTAGTTATCTCATCGTCCAGACTTCGGCCGATCTTCAGTTTGCAGTTCCACTGGTTATAAAAACCGGCGTGACCGGGGATGCTCCCGAGACTTGACGTGATGGGGAAACATGGATCTTCGGAACGTTTTCTCCACACTGGCTTTTGGCCTTCTTCCGAGTGGCTTTGTGTAACCTCACACAGAACCCTCTTGGCGACATTCCATGACTTGGCAGGAATGCGAAAAATGCAGAAATGAAGAAACAAACTGAACTTACGAAATAAATAAGAAATACTTGTAACGTTACAACAAATCGCGACGGGGCCCATATCAAGAACAGCCACGACAACAGTTTACGTTGGCAGGAGGGGATTGCATTCCAATGTTTGCGACTGGGTCCTGCCAGTGCAAAACGCAGAAACGCGTGGCCTTGGGATCCGTAATTCTCTGCTTGATGGTCCAGGCCATGTTGGCAAAAAACGACTCGACAATTGGCCGGGCGCTTGGGTTTCGTTGGGCTGCAATACACATTACATACAAAATACCTACAATACGAAAACCAGGGTAATCGGTAACCAAAGCTTTTCTCAGCTCCAGCCGCTCGATGTTGTTGATTGGGGTTCCGAAGGTATGTAACAAAATACCTTGATCCCGACCTTTTTTTCGGAACGCCGACGCCAGCAACACCACCCAGGTATTGTATTTAACGCATATATACCAACCACTTTCGTTTTCAACTGTAATCATCATTTCATTTTCATCTTCGAATTCAAATTCTCACCAAAATGGTCCCTCGCACCATTCCAGAACCAGGCAGTGTGCCAAACGTCTCCCGTGATGCCCAACAAACGTATGAAACTCTCAAATCCGGCGGAGTCGTCGTCGTCCCAACCGACGTGGGCTACGCGCTCTTGACGAGCACCCCAGCCGGAGTTGAGAGAATCTTCACCGCCAAAGGCCGTCGACAAGGCCACAATCTGGGCATCATTGGGACGTACCAACAACACCGAGAAATCCACGTGTTGCCCGAATCCAAGTTCGAGTTCACCCGCGTCCTGACAGAGGACATGGGCATGATAATCAGCATCATCGCTAAATACGACCCCACTAACCCGCGCCTGGCAGCCCTGGGCCCGGCCACACTTTCCCAGGTCACCAGGGGCGATACAATCGGCATCGCCATCCCAGAAGGGCCGTTCTTACGCGAGCTCGGCCGGCTTTGTGATGCGGACCCGCAGGGCACGTTGATTTTCGGTTCCTCGGCCAACCTCACCGGGCAAGGGCAGCGGTTCCGCGTCGAGGATATTGAACCTGCCGTGCTGGGGCATGCTGATTTGGTGGTGGATTATGGCTTGCAGAAATGGCACACGTATGGCTTTGGTGCCGTCAATATCGATGTTGAAAACATGAAAGTCTTGAGAGCTGGGGCTGGGTACGAGGTTTTCAAGGACAGAGTCAAGAGGTGGTTCCCCGAATTGTTGGAGGAAGCAGGCGTAAACCTAGACCATGTCTGAAGCATGTCATCAAAAGCTGTCTAAATCGGCCCTCTCTACCGAGCTGAGAATCGATTAAACTGGGCATTGGATAAACGAATGCATTGGTTACAGAAGGCAAAGAGCTGTAGAATAATGTAAGTGGGTTTATACATACAGGTTGTTAAGTGGCAACCCATCTGGGGTTTCGAATTTCCGCCTTGCAATCCCATTTACAGACCTGTCTGCGAGTCAAAGTTGCAAGAGATTGAATTTACATGACGCGTGCAAACTGAATCAATCACGGCAAGATAAAACGACTCAGTTAACAATAGCTTTCTTTCCCCTACTTCCGTACGTAGGCAGTTTATCAGTCCCCATCTTGCGGTATCTAGTTGGCATACTGACATACTTGCTCCAAGAGCGTAGTTGCTTGCCATACCGAAGGTACGTGAGAGTCAAGATCCTGGGCCAGCCATAAAATCAACTTACAAGTTCTAGCATAACGGAAGGCGGACTAGGGCAAGAGAGATATATCCCAGGGTGCGAAGAAGGCGGTTCCAACAATTGGCACAGCCCAGCGTACGCCAGCCATTATTTCGTCTAGGGGGTGGGATGTAGACTGCGCATATTACCTTTCTCGAGACGTCCAGGCAAAGATAAAAAGACATATAGGAATACAGGCTGCCCCAATTTATCTAGGCCGCAGACCATTGTGAATGGGCTCATTCTAGCTAACAACCACAAGATTGCCGTCCACAGATTTCAGCATGTGCTGTGGCAAGTGGTCAGCAACCTGGTCCTAATTAGTCGTTGAGGATCAAAATGGATTATGTGAGTTACTTACACAACTTGCAAATTCTAACGTACAACCAGAGGACCGATGTCGTACGCAATAACACAAAAGTGCTTTCAGAATCACTGGCGCCACTCGGCTGGAATTAGTGGGATACTGGGTGCGAAGATTGCCGACGGTGAGTAGAAGCTGAAGTTGAGCAACATCACGTCCGCCATGACGAATGATTTTGCCAGCACTGGCCAGCTTTTTGGGATGTCTAAGTCGTCGGGCACCAATAATATTATCATCCATACTCCGCTATGCCCTAGGGCGTGCCGGACCCTCAGTTATTTAGTGTACAGGTAAACCGTGCCCTCCCGGGCCGGGTGAAAAACCCATACCAACAATCAAGGAACGATGCGTTCTGGTGAGTCTGCGTATACAAAGAGAGGAGGCCTCCTGGCCTCCGACGGGGGCGCTTCAGACCGCGGCTTCCAGCTCGAGCCTCCTGGCTAAGTTGTACATCGGCAGCTTCCCCGAGTCCATCAGCCAGTCGAGAACTCTCCTCGCGAGCCGTGCAGTCGTGGGTAGAACAGAGTAAAAGTCCCGTCGTGTCCAAATTCCAGTTCTCTCCCATCTTCGAGTCAACGGTGGGGCGAAACACCACACTACCAGGTGTTCGGCAGTCTCTCGTCCCTCGCCACACTCGCAGGCAGGAGTCAGAACCTCCGGGACTCCCCGTGTAAACAAGAAGTCCCGTAAGCCTATTCCTCCCGTCCGGATTTGAATCAGCAGTGAGCTCTTTGCTTTGCTGAGACCGTCGTGCCTCCTTAGGGCTTCGTTCCGAGGCCGGCCCCTGTTGCCGCTCCTCGAGCGTAGTCTCTGCTGTATCTTGCTACAGGCGGTAAGAATAACGCTCCCTGCGGTCTTCTTGCCGCCTTGGCCGTCATCTAAGTCGGTTCGCTGGAGTCTGGTCTCAAAGTCCGCAAGCCGTTTGTTGAGATATAGGTCCAACGGTGGCACCCATGCCTCCGTCTCGAGGTTGCGGATGGGAGTGTACTTGAAGGCTCCCGCTAAAATCCGCAAGCTTTTGTTCTGGGCCTTCCCGAGGGCCTTGGTGATGCCTTTCTTTACCGGCTCGCCTCCCACATCCGTGAGGATGTGGAACGACGGTGCGCCGTAGGCCAGCGCTGACCGGATGCACTTTGTGTACACTTCTCGCGCTTTGGCTAGCCCCAGTCCCCACGTCGACGCCGCTAGCCTCGACAGGGCATAGCTCTGGGTCCTCAGCTTCCTCTCCACCGCTGCAAGGTGGGCTTTCCAGTTGAGCTTCCGGTCCAGCCAGACTCCCAGGAACCTGGCAGACTCCTTCGGTCTGTCGGGGCTGGTGCCTCTCCCTGGGCTGGTGAGTTCCAGCTGGTTTGACCACTGCCGTCGCCCCTTGTTGAAATGGATCAGTTCGCTCTTTTCCGGGGCGAACTTCATCCCCCGACTGTCCGCCCATCGTATACACGTTCCCCACGCCGCCTCTAGTTGCCGGACATTCGCTTCGGGGTTTCGACCAAATACCAGGAGGTTGGTGTCATCCGCAAACCCCGCTATAGCCAAGTGAGGGTGCTCGTCTTTTAGCTGCTTGTATAATGAGGAAATATAGAGGATGAAGAGAACAGGGGAAAGCGGTGAGCCTTGGAGAACCCCTGCCCGAATTGCCGTCGGTGCCGCCGTCTTGCCGTCAAAGAGGAGGGTGGCCTCTCGGCCCGTCAACCAGTCTTTTGTCCAGAGAACGAGCCACCTCGGGTAGCCCATTTCTCGCAGTGCCCCAGTAGTCGTGTGTGGTTAACCGTGTCGAAGGCTCCTGAAATGTCCAGTTGCAATAGGGATGCCGCGGCCTTCTGTCTCCATGCCGCCTGGACCTGGGCTACTACTAGCCGAACAGCCATCTCCGTGGAGCGGTGTGCCCTGTTCCCCATTTGTTCGTCTGGTAGAAGGCCGTTGACTTCAGCAGCTTGAGTGACCTTCCTGGCGACCACTGACTCTATTACCTTCCCTAGGGTTGGCAGTAGCGCAATGGGCCTGTACCCTCCCGGGGTCTGATACACTGGCGGCGCCTTCCCTGGCTTCGGTAGTACTATAGTCTTTGCCTTTTTGAACCGGTCGGGAAACCATCCTAGTTCCAGGCACCTCGTCGCCAATACGGCGAGCACTTCAGCCAGTGGTATTCCACATGCCTTCAGAAGACCCATCGGGAGCAGATCCTCTCCTGGCGCCTTCCAGGGGCTTGCTCCTCCTATTGCTTTCGCGATCTCGGTCGGCGTCACTGCCTGTGAGACGTCGAATCCCTGGTTCTAGTCGCCTAAAAAGGCTTGGTCTTCCACGTCCGTTAGGTTGGCCGGTGGGTCTGGGAAGAACCTCTCAGCCAGTGCGCTGGTTTCTGGTCGTGCGTTTCGGCCGTTACCTGTCCGGACGAGTCCTTGAATGCCGGTAGTCTCGGTGGTTCCGGCAACAAAAAGCTCCGTAGCCTGGCCCATCTTTCCAAGCTCCACATCTGATCGGGCTTCTTTGCCTCGCTTGCTTCCTGCAGGTTATGCCTCCAAGCCCTCGTCCGTGCTTCGCGCGTTGTTCTGGAAAGGGCCTTGAGCCTTTCGCTAAGCTCCTCCCAACAGTACTCTGCCCGAGTCTCCTTCGCCAGCCTCTCGGCCCTCCTGGCCTCCCGGGCGGCCTGCTCCACCTCCGCAGTCCACCAGGGAGAGCTGTAGCCGCAACTCGCCTTCTTCCGTGGAGTGCTTTCCCCAGCGACCCAGGTCAGCCACCCAACCAGGCTGTCGAAAGCTTTGTCAAGACCCTCGACTGTTCGGGTCCTGCTCAGTAGCCCGTTCGGCCCCGGGTCTGTGAGACCCATAGCCGCGCACAGCAATGTTGACTCAGCCTTCACCCTCTCCCTGTCCATCTTCTTCCAGGCCCAGCAACCAATAATAAATTTGAAGGAATTGCGAGCAGTATTTTCTTTTCCGGTCGAGAATGAAACAAACTTGTGGGTACTTAAATGTCTGAGTCGGTCCAGGGTGCGGCCAAAAAGGCTTCCACGAAACAAGACATATAATGTTGTTGCTATGCGTACTTCAACGGAGAGGTCGATGGCATAAGATGTCAATACGGCGGTCGCGCTGGTAAATTGTTATAGCTTGATTCCACTCTAACATCATCGAGAGCCTGGAAGTGACGAGATTTTTGCGAGGACCATTCAACAAGAGATGAGCCGACTTGAGGGTCTTGTGAGTCCTCGCCGGCCCTACTAAGTCAAGCCAGCGAAAGGTTACTGAGATAAACTGACAACCGCGTATTAGGACTCGACTGCAGGTCACCTCGACACTCTGGCCACCTTCCAAGCCTACTTTATCTCCTCCATCTTGGCGTATTTCTCCCCACTCCAAGGGGAGCGTCTCATTCACGACGGCACCATGATGGCGCTCCAGGAGATGGCTTCCCACGTGGCGCAGGATGATCCGGTATCCAAAGCCGAACTCGGCGTACAACACTTGACTATAGACCCAATAGAAGAGGTAGTTGGTTCTAAACGTTATTCGGCTACCTATATACGCTAAGCACCGTAGTTAACCGTATCTCATACACTCGGAAACTACGATCTTGTCGGCCAGTCACAGCCCGGTTGGGAATCCTGGATCGCCGTCTCAGTAAAATGCTGAGCCATTCTCGCCTTCTGCCTGTGAGCAACCTGTACAACGCCGAGAACGGCGGTCCCAACTTCCTCGCCGAGGAACTGAGAGATATGTTTGTGTTATGCCGGGTGCGAAATCGTTGTGGGGGGCAAAGACTTGCCTTTACTGGGGGCGCGAGTATCGTCGCCATTTGTCGCGGTAGGAGGGCGGGCAGTGGAGATTATCTGAGCTATGACGATCCCCGGACACCGGCACCCCAGAGCGCCGGGAGAGGATTAATCGGTGGGTGGAAACTGCTGACGAGTTTGATATGATGTTGTGCCCGCTTTGTATTAATCTTCATGGCTACTGGGTTTGCATTAATAACGGAAAGGGAAGACGAATTATTATATTCGTCAAATTGTTATCACTGTGACAATCGGTGACCCAGGATTCAATTCTGTTCATAATCGGGGGTTTGGGCTTTATAGGGCCAACCTGGTGTTGTGTGTTAAATTCGGTGAATGAAGACAGAGACATTCAGGGGCGAGTATTGACGTTTATAGTACATGAATACAATACCGTGCATGGTTGATTGGGGACTGCTAGATCAATCCTAACAGCAGTATTTCGGTAACTGACTTGAGCTTTCGATCGTTTACTGACTAGAGGCACCTTATGCCTTGACATCCACGACAAGTTCATTGGTTAGGGAAGGTAGTCTGGATTTCTTAACGACTCTAACCCTCACATCCCTAAAGCACTAGGCAACCAAGTCGATGGTCTGGGACTTCCTAAAAAGCCTGTCTTCTCGTTCTTCTCGAGCTTCAATAGGGCCACTCCAACTTACACGCTTGACAAGGATAGCATACAGTCCGCGAAACGAGGCGAGGTTGCACTGTTTAACCTTCTCGTGGGGACCAGTTCCGCCAAAGACACGTTTTTCCACATTGAATTGACCATCTGAATAGGTAGGTAGATAGCTAGGGCAGCATGCTTCTCGTTGGCTGAATAACAACCTGCGGCGTACGATTTTGACCGCGCCGGGGGCTGGTTTTGCCAATGCACTCCAACTTGCCAAATGGCCTGTCAGTGCTCAACCCTCCCGACAGCGAGAGTTGCGCCTTTTCATCGTTACTTTTTGGGGGGGGGGGGTTTCGTCCAAACGGCAATTGCTGCTGAGTATTAGTAAGTAGGTATTTTGGTAGTGTAACCCGGCTCTGACCCCTGGGCCCACCCAACCATCTACACTAGGAATGTTTCCCATCTTCCGTCATTCATCAATGAAGTGGGTTGCGTCCCGGCGGGGAGGGAAAATGAGATGGGATTTGCCATCGGAATCGGATTATCGCCGACTGGCAACCCCGCATGATTAATCCTCCGCAAACCGAGCGAAGTGGAGCCACAAACGCGCTTGGTTCGCAAGTGGTTTTGCGACCGTTCATGGAACTCGTGTGAATCCAGCAATGCTTGAATCTCATCGCAATCAGCATGGATGGGAAACGGATGCTAGAGACAGAAAATAGACCTATAATCGAGCGGGTACGCGGTCCCTACCGATTTTACCCTTAGAGAGGCATCAATACAGCTCACTCCAACTTAAACCGAGGGCTAACTACTTCGTACCCTGAATTCGGTGCCTAGGGTCCGGGATTGGCGTGTTTTGTACCCTACCTCTGACTCCGACCCGCAACTTGTGAGTTTTTTATTGGTTGTTGCTGCCTGTTGGTTCTCTTGTTCTTTATAATCGCCCTACAGCACTGGACTTCTTTTGCGAGCAAGCAAAGAATTTTGATAAGACAGCACAACACCCCCTCAAATGTGGCTTGTTGGTTTTCTCTCAGCTCAGTGGGTAGGAGCGGCCCATGCGCCCTTGTCAGCCCAGAAGCAGCAACCTGCATGGTTCACCGGTCGATCGCATCTTTTGGCACTCCCGACCCAGTGCACCTTCTCGACTTACCGATAGACATTCCGTTCAATTCCTAATTTCATTAGGAAGGCAGGTGCGCGGGTGTGCATCAGCCACAGTACCACAAACCCAACGCCTGTTTTTCATCGCCCATGGCCCCGATTCGCGAGTCTTTTAAAATCTTGCATGTCGGAAGGATTCGAAGGCGGGGGAGTGCCGAGGTGCCGTGTCTTGGACTCGGAAACGGTGCCACCTTGTGTGTTGTCGGGTTGAGTGAGAGCCTTGTGCAGGGTTCAGATCGCAAGTTCCTTGCGTGAACGTTTCACGTCACCGCTCCGGCCCTGGAGATACGTTGAGGGTTTACCGCTTGGCAACTTCTCGACTCCTCTCCATCCTCTCTCGTTGGGTACCAACCTGGCGGGTGGTCTCTGCCTGGCCCGTCCTTCCCCAAAACCCCGGTCTCACCTCTCGAAGCCTGCGCCAACTCCCCCAGTCCACCAGCGCTTGCAGGTTTGTGACCCCTTGCGCCTGCGCAGTGGCCCGTCAAACACGCCGCTGGGCCACGGCATGGTTCGCGCAGACTTTCCCGAGAGAGAGAGAGAGCCCTTGGCCGGTTCGGGGCCGTTCGCCTCATTTGGATGTTGAGCTCACCACCCTGTTCCGGTTGTACCACCCACACCGGCTGCGAAGCAATTCCAGGCCCATACAGCGCGACCTTCGACGACCTGGATACCACTACCCACCTCCAATCGGAGAGAGGGACCGCCTCGATCCGGAGCCACGGCACCGGGAACGACACATCCCGCGGTGCCTTGCCGGTGCCATGCCTGGCGCCTTTTGGGGTTGGACAACCCGGAGGCCCCGGAGGTGACGCTTGGTTGGGGGTTGTTGAACACGCGCCGTCCATGGAAGCAATGAGTGTTGCAACGTCATTGATGTCTCCACATGCAGCTGTAAATGCACCTCCAGTTCCTTCATTTTTGCTTTTACTCTTTAAACCATGCCTGAGCCCTCATTAACGTTGCGTCTTCTCAACCTAGACCGCTATCCCTGTGGTACGAAATAACGCCTCGGATGCGGATTCCCGGCAATTCAAGAAACGTCGCACCAAAGCCCCCCAAGCGCACGTCAGCCCCAGCCAGGCTCAGGCCGAAGCATTGACTTGGCCCAACGAGCCATTGTATGGGCGGGAGACGCATGGGGCGGGGACGGGCAACGCCCACGGTATCGTCAGGTTAGCGGGGCCAAGCCTCCCCCCATACTCCTCCGACAACGAATATCCATTTCGCCGCCTTGAACCGGCCTTCGACCAAACCCCCCAACCATCACGAGAGAGCTGGATGCCAAACGAGCATCGATTTGATGCAGCCCCACTGCCACCATTGGGCCCAGTTACCTCGGCGGCCCCCGGTCGCTTGCTGTGGGACTTTCCTCCCTCACCGGTCGATCAGGCCGCCGCTGGGTCCCTCTATCATTGGCCCCTGACTGCGCCAACCATCCAACCGCCAGGACCATATGATCAGCTCCCTTCTCTTCCAACCCCGCCAATCCTCACGGGAACAGATCCTCATTCGTTTGCTGCCTTTCCCTCGGACAGCGGGTGTCCCCCTCTCGCAGCAGAACAGCTAGCAGGTCCGCCCAGAGCGCCAGGTGACCAAGGTGCTGCCTATCTGCGTTTCTTACAGGGGCCAGTAGACGCGATACTCCTTCCAAATGGCGCCGAACCTGACCGGGTTGGCGGCTACGGTCCCCCCACTGTGTTCGGCTCGTACCAAGAACCTGCCACCCTCCACCTTGCACCGAATGGCAGCCCACCTGCACCGCTCGACATCGGTTTGAGGCTGTCTCGGATGTATGGAACTGTCGAGCGGCTGGAAGATGGAAATTGGATCAAGGAAGAACCCCCGACCCCGGCCAACGGGGATTGGGGTGTACCCACTCCCGCGGGAGTCCCGAGGAACATTCATCCTGCAAACGCAGTAGAAGGGCCACCGAGACCCGGAAACGGGGAAGATGACGAAGAGGCGAGCAACCGGAAGGGGCGACGTCGGCTCAATGAAGGGTTGCGCACTGAGACGTCAAATACGCGACAAATCGGCGCCTGCATACGGTGTCATAATCAGCGGATCCGGGTGAGTGATACTCTCTTATGGTCTTTTCCTGGTTCTGCTTCCTAAAGCTAACATGTCGCAGTGTAGACCTAACAAACTAGACCCCACAAACCCGGACGCGCCGTGTGAGAGCTGTCTTTTGGTGCGGAAAGCCTCCAAGAAGACCATCCACTACATCTCTTGCCTGCGGTTCAAGGTCACCTCCATGGTTGTTTACCGTGCGGGTGGTTTGGGCTACACCAAGCGGTTCGACCATACCAAGATCGTGGATGTCGACGGCTACAGCGACGGCATTACTTACGACATCGAGATAACACAAGGCCTTTGCCAGACCCCCATTCTGCTGAAAGTCCGACGGTTTCGTCCGAACCAAACCGACAAGACGCACTGGAGTTATCGGGTTGATGATACTACCTGCGCCCATAGGTCCCAAGACACTGGTGCGTTTTGCCTGGTCAACATTAAGGAAACAGCCAAGAAGTTCAACGACTACATCGCTTGCAATGCTGCCGATGGCCTGGCGGAGGCGGTAAAGGACTCAGATGACATGGTCAAGGAGGTATTTGCGATGATCGAAAAACAATGTCGCTCGCTCCCGGTATGGAACCCCAACCTCCACCCTCTCCAGCCCCCGAGGCTCGCTTGAATACTGACTACTTCTCCGAAGGTTGTCATCGAACCCCGAGTTGGTCATGGAGAAAAAGGGGCGAAGAAACAACTGGACCAGAAAGAATTTCTGCTCAAAATGGTCCATCTTTGGTTTGCGATACGTAGGTATCCCAGCTTTTCAGCAATATATTGTTTGCATCACTCACAGTGCCGTCTAGGGCATGGGACAGGTTCCGCATGGCTCTGCGGCGACGAACGGTTAGGGCTAAGCCCGATATCCGAGCCCAACCACCCTTTTCGGGGTCGGGTTCTTGTATCACGTATGATTGTCGCCCAATTCGACAGCATACGGTACGAGTGTATTTACAAAACGCTCGCGCCGGAGGTGCTCCGAACAATCGACGTCTTCCTCACATCGTCCAACAAAGAAGCCTGGTTCACTGTCTTTCTGGCCACATTTTTGCTTCTCCATCTTGCCGCCTGCACGTCCCAAGACCGATATCGCCATGCCAAACAAAACGCGGGGGACAAGCGGCTCGTACGTGTTTATACTGATTCCCATCCTCCCCGCGGCTCGTTAACAGGTTTCTAGGATACACGATACGGAAACCTCCATGACCCCCTCACTGGTTTTGTCGAGGAGGTTCATCATAGTGCCGTCATGCTCTTGGCTCATTGGCAATACTTCAAGCGCTGCGATCTCATGAACTTCAATTGGAACAATGTTGGAGAGTCAGCATTGATGTGTCTTGAGCCGGACCAGATCGACTGTATCAAGAGCGTTGTGGGGCGTCTTAAAGAAAGGCGTAAGTTGAGTCTTCGTTTCCTCCAAGAGCCAAATGGACGCTGACGTCTACATAAGTGCCTTTCATTCCCACCACACCGGATGCAGGCTGCTGGGAACATGAGCTCTTTTGGATTTCCAAGATGTTTATTTCCAGCCCGTCCCCGAAAACAGATTGGACGCCACCGGAGACGTTTACAAAAGCCAAACCCGGTGTTGGCAGGGAATAGCTTGATCGGATAGAGCGGGATGCGCCTCGGAGAGAAGACTTTACATTCGGTAATACAGGCATAGGGCGGGGGTCTGGGTATGGAGTGGAATTTTGCGAAAGGTGGGCGTTTGCGGGTTGGCTTTGATGGGCCGCTCTGATCCATGGTTTACATACCCGAAGCGGCTGGTTTTGAGTTACAGAAAAGGCTATCCTAGATAGGATATTATACCCCAGCGTGTCCCCTCCGTTTCTGTTGTGAAATAGCCCGTCACTCAATGTTCTTGCTGTGTGTATAGCCCGAGCTACCTGTGAGCGACCAAAGCAAATGAGGGAGTTCTGTTGACGATGGACAGGGGTAAAGTGGGCCCCACGGTCTTGTCAACATCCAGCAGCGGCTTAGTCATGTACTTTTGGGCGATAAGATAAGCATTTCCTGGGGTGCTGGGAGTTGCACGGTTGACAGTTCAACTCACAGCTGTCCTTTTCTGGCAACGTGAGCGCCTCCATTGTTCAGCGTCAACCCAATGCTGAGGAAACAACCACTCCTCCACACGCCACATCAGTAATACCTCGGGCTTTCCCACACCAGAAGCCGCCGATAGCTGCTTGTGAACTTCTACCCCTGCAGCAATTCCACTGATCGGTTGGATTGTCGCGATTCTTTAAACCCCCCGGCAACTCCATTACCACCACCACCAGCACATCCCAACCCGCCCACATAAACCCACCGCCACAATGTCCGACCTCGAATCCTTCGACTTCATCCCCCTCCACATCGACCCCAAATCCAAAGCCATCAGCGCGGCCGCCCAGACCCCAGCAACCCGCGCACTCGAGGCCGAGCTCGCGTCGCTCAACGCGCTGCACCGCTCGCTGCACGGGCTCGACCCGCCGCACCTGGTCCCGCCCCCTCCCGTGCCCGTCAACCCCAAGCGCAGCGCCAACATCGGCAAGCTGCGCGAGTCGGGCAACGCCGAGTACCGCAAGCAGCGCTACGCCGAGGCGGCCAAGTTCTACACGCTCGGCCTACAGATGGCCCTCACCCGCGCCGCCTGGGAGCCCAGCCAGCTCGTGCGCGAGGAGCTGCACGCGCTGTACAGCAACCGCGCGCAGGCAAACATGCACCTGGGCCTGTGGCCCGAGGCGGCGTCGGATGCGGAGGCGAGTGTGGAGGCCAAGAGGCAGGGGAATGCCAAGGCGTGGTTTCGGAGGGGGCGATCGTTGGTAGAGATGGGGCGGTTGGCGGAGGCGAGGGAGTGGGTTGCGAGGGGGCTGGAGTTTGAGGGCGAGGAGAAGGAGCTGATTGAGTTGTTGAAGGAGGTGGATGCGAAGTTGGAGGCAGAGAAGGTTAAGAGGGACTCTTGAGGGGTTGATTGGGTTGTGGTGTCTGCGCGTGTGGGATATAGCGACGACGGCGCGGAGGAGACGTTTAGGGGAGAAGGGAGCATGTTTATTTTTTTCGAGTTCTGGTGGTCATTCGACCTTTGGGCTAGGCGTTAAGGGATCTTTCTGCACCAGGAATGAAAGGATTGTTCAAGGGACAATGTAAATGGAATTGTTTTGAACGGTGAGCTGAGGATTGTCCCATCTCATGACAACCCGCTCCCGTCGTGGAACACCCTCGTAAACTCCGGCCCCCGCTGGGCGTTGCATCCTTTCACTCAATCTTGTACTTCCGTAGTTCCGCTGCCTCGTTAGATCCTCCTATGGACACCCATTTCCACGCCCCGGTTACCTTATCTCCCTTCCAGAAACAAGAACGATGCCAATATGATGATGCCCAAATACGAACACGAAAAAATGAAATCGAGGCAGAACCCAATCATGCAGCTAATGAACTAGTCCTCCCATTCTCCCTTCTTTCCCTCATGCCACAATCCGTCGTCCAACTCGTGGCCCAGAGATCCTGAAACGGGTAGATTGTTCGTCGCGAGAAAAACGGCGTGTGCTTCCAAGACCGAAGGACCGCCTGTCGTAAACCATGCCACCTAGTACCACGCCTGTGTTCATCGACCGAATTGCTCTCCCCCATCACCGTCGTGTTTGCTTCACATCTTCTCCTTCTCTGAGGTGACCTCCAAAACCGACGGCTTCCGCGGGCGCATCACGGCGTCCTGGCTCGTCATGCGACGGTCGAGGGCGCGCTCTAGCTTCGCGCCGAGGGCGAGCTTGGCGAGCTTGGTTGTCTTTTCCTCGTTGAGGAAAACGCGCTGCTCCGAGAGGTGCGGGTTCTTGAGCCGCTCGAGCCCGTCGACGATGGGGCGGATTTCGGCGGTGACGCTGTCGGTGCTGAGCACCGTGGGGGTGACGGACGGGGCGGCCATGCTGTAGGTGGAGAAGCGGACAGAGGTGCGGGTCTGGACAGCGAGGGACGGTTTGGCCGTGGTTAGCGACGATTGGGTTTATTTTAGGTTTGTTTTTGGGGGGTGTGTGTTGGAGGTGAACGGGGCAGGCATCGAGGGAAAAAACGAACCGAAGGGGCCATGATCGGGCGCGAAGACTCCAGAGAGGCAGGCATTCTGGCGGTGGTACGAGCGTGTGTTCGGACTTTCCGTACTGGCTTTGTTGACGAGGAGCGTGGCTTGATGACGCTGTCCGATTTGAAACGCCGGAGCAAGGCAAAGCCTGTTGAGAGCAACCTTGGCCCAGGGGTGGAAATTCGCTGGCTCCGCTCACAGTGACAGAAACCCTGCTAAATTGTCGCTTGCCGCTTATCGCTTGTCGCCTGTCAGCCTGTCGGCGCTGTTGTTTGGTCAATCGTTGTGTAATGCCACACGGTCGATTCGGGTATGGGATGAACGAGCAAAAGGGGGGTGATGAATCAAAGAGGAGATGCCGGGCGGGAGGGAAGCAGGAAGGTGGCACCACTCATAATGACCCGGGAAGACTGGCGCACCGCCGCACACTACACTAGGACGCCCATGTGGGATGGCTGCAGCTGCCGTGGCCAGGCCGCAAAAAGCGTCAACGAACCCCCAACTAAAAGTGGGACTCAGGGGTTCTTCAGAGCTGATCATCGCTCAAGTGCGCCAGTGCCTCATCACACCAGTTATTCCTGCCATCACAAAACGTTATCAACGAGAATTTGCCTGGTCACACTTCAACAATTTGTCTTCTGATTCTCTTGGAAAGTTCATTGATACGCTCATTGGGGTCTCATCCCACGTTGTTTTACGTTTTACGTTCCACAAAGTGCATAGGTAGGGTACCTTTTGGGGTTAACAACGGAGCATGGAGAACGGTGAACGCTCGTCGAGGGGGCAGAGACTGGCGGTTCGGCCAGGGTTTCCGAGGCGCTGCTGCTTCCTTCTCGGCAAAATGTCACTTAAAGATATTAACTAAGCCAGTTATCCTTTTGGTCAGGCGTGCGGAGAGCCTTTCTCCTGCAGTATGTACACGATGTAGCTGCATTGACCGCCAGGCCCTTCCCCGGGGTCCGTAGGCTTAACGGAGACAGGGATGCTTCAAGGGCGGCGCATGTGGGCATGGAAGGACATACGAAGTGGACTGTGTTGAACGGTGTTAATCATGGGGTCTTCCCATATAGAACCCCCGCCCCCATATTTTGTTTCGCCTCATGGCTCACGGGGATCCGACAGACTGGACAGCGGAAGATGACCTCTGCAATTATGTAGGGATTTGAACCTTGCTGGCGGTTCCGAGCATGTGAGCAAAGCAACACTGCCGAAGATCTGGTGCGACACCCCGCTGCGGCGAGCGAAAAAACGCACGTGGCATTTTTATCAGGCCACCATCCAGCGGGGACACACCCGGCTTGGCGATAAAAGTGTCGGGACAACGCCAAGACCGAGGAAAGGCATCTTGCGACCTGACGCCTCTTCTCTTCTGCAATTTCCGAGCCAGGCGGCGGAGGGAATAATCTTCACACAGTTGGTCCTCCCTGTACGACGTCCATCTGCCAAGCTAGCCCACAGACCTCTTGCGGCCTGACCATCCCGTATGGCCACCTCTGGTCATTCGTTGCGTATTACCTCGGTGAGCGCTCCACGGTAGGTAGGCAGTGTGCCGTGCTTCACGTATGACTCGTTCTATATGGCCACTCGTTGAATTCAGGCACCGGCGCTTCTTAGCAACAAATCTACAGGAGCTGGCTTCACATTCATGATTCAAGTCGTTTCTCATCTTGGAAGTCCACGATGCATTAGCCGAACTACAGATTAGTCCGCTCGTGTCAAAGGCCGGAATAATATTTCTTAACAACATGATAGAGCTGAGAGTCTTGTCCTGGATCCGCCAGAGCGGGCTAGTCCAGGGCTGGCATGCGCCTGCCCGAGGTTGGTCCGGGAGGTCTCGAACTGAAACTTGAAGAACACAAACACCAACGATTCACAGTCCAAGGGCTCGAGATACCCGTGATTTTGGAAGGGTGGCGGAGGATCGCCAAGGCCGAATTGATTTGTGATACGACTGAATTGCAAGGATAAGGCCGCCGCATCTGTGCATGAACCGGTTCTCTGGCTACCTTCGGATTCTTGAGTACCTATTGTAAGGTCCATATTCGGAAGGGGATCAGAACATGGAACTTGAAAGTGCAAGCCGCATGTGCCAGCTCATAGCGGATGGATCGGATAATTAACCACTGGATCTCTCTGCCTTGCCCGGTAGGTTGCCCCTTATAAAGTTATAAAAGGCCAGAGATTATCACCTTGTTCCTTCTCCGATTTGCTCATGGATCTACCAAAGCATCGTCCGCACCTTCCTTAAATACTACCTACCTACGGCAGGAGTCATTCACTTTACAGAGGGGTATCGATTTCAGTACCTTACCTTATCTGCCACCTCCGCTGATTCTTTCCTCGTCCCCATTTTCCATGAGTCTCCTCCTTGAACTGTAGCGTTTTCCTATTTGAACTGTAGTGGTCCGTGCGCAACACTGCAAAACGTCGGCTAATTAATTCTGCCGCTTGATGCCTGCCACACAGCATCACAGCATAACACCCGAAGCAACGTTACGATTCCACAACGGCGCAGTGAGAATACCCTCATTTGGGCATCGAGAATGGATTATTTAAGTGCTAATTTTTTGATTTCAGGTTTTCTTATTAAATATATGTCATTGCGCAGTCTGCAGGACATGGAGGAGTTACCGGCTTCACTCCAACCAGAGGCTGTCTTGACAGGGTCTCCTTATGGTGCACCTGCACCACCAAGCATCCCGCCAGGCCACCGTCTCCTCACTGGCCCGGCTTACGCCTCCTGCAACGAGCTCTTGCTTGATCTGAACTTTTAGGGGAAGTCCTATGGTCTGGGATTTGTGAAGAGGCGAGCTTCGAATTGAGAGTTTTGCGTATTTTCCTGAATCAGGGCTTGAAGAACTTCTTGGTATTCGTGCGTTCTGCTGGATGAAAATGGTGACTATTGGAGCGAAGTTCCATGATTTGTCTCCAAAGTAGGGCTCCGAATCATGCAGCTCACCGCCTTCCCGTTTTGGCTGACGCACGGACCACTACAGTTCAAATAGGAAAACGCTACAGTTCAAGGAGGAGAACTCTTTTCAATATCCCTTGCCTCTCTTTCAAAGACGACCACGTGAAATTCCACACAAACCCTAAATAAGTTCGGCCAACTTTTATGCTCTGAGTTTATCTCGAGTATTAGGAATATTTCTACAACTCCCAATACATCTGCAACAATAGTTCTGCCACCGCTATCCCCTCTAGAGACATTTGAGCGCGGATATCTCTACGTTCCAACCCAAAAATACAGAGACGTCCCAACCCCCAAACTCGACCAAATCACCGCGGACTCTTGCGAGTCTTCCCAATCTTCTGACCATTGCGCCGTCCCGGAAAGGAAATGACTAACAAGAGCTAAACCAGGCAAGCCTCCGATGTCCGAGTTCATTCCGCCGTCCCTCGTTGCGTCTCCCTTTTCTCAAACACTTAACCCTTGCTGCATATAAACCTGGTCGACCTGCCCTCTGTTTTCCAGGTCGCTGACTCTGTGGTAAACCATTTTCACCTTCTCCTATGCGACAATTTGGACGATCTTTCTCCGTCATTCCCGCCGTAATTCAACTCGATATTGTACGAAGTAACGGAATCAGAGCTCGGAGAGCTGGATGACGTGTTTTGTCGGTGTCTCCTGGATTCCTTCCCTCTTCGGCCCTCTTTGCGGTTGACGTCACCAGAGCTAACCTGAGCTGGGAATGTGTCAGAGACTGCCCCATATACACGCGCCAAGAGGACCTAGGAAGGACGACGACGGTCGGCCCATGTCATGCGCGTGCGGTCATGGGAGTTCTTACGATCTTTGGTGCAGCTGCGACAACACCCGTGGTCGCACCTCTCCATCCACTCCCACTCATTTGTGATGGAGTTCTTCTCCCATTTCGGCTCCGGCGACGCGTTCAGGCACCATCCGCTACTGTTCCGCCCTCCGCATTTGCAGCATGTCCACCCGCCTCCTCCCGCACTACGAAAGTCGCAGTTTGCCAGTGGACACGCTGCTGTCGACGATTGGGATGCGGCAAACGTGATATTCGGGCATGGTGTCTCATATCCCGTTTCCAAGTCGATTAGCGCCGACGGGCAGTAGTGCCACGTCACAGATTGGTGACCACACGAATGGTAATGAGGATGCCCGTGGCACATGACTGGTTTTGAAGGTTGAAGAGTCGAGGGTGCGATGTTGAAGAGCCAAAGAGGCCGTGCTGATCAAAGGGCTTCCTGCAAAGTTTGGGTGTCTGCTGAAATTTGCCGGACTGTGTTGGTTGGACTGACATGAAGATCTCAGATAACGGCTTGTACGTCCAACCCAAAGCAAGAGACGTCAGATGATTATTTATACGCCAGTTATTTGTCACCTCAGCAGCTAGACCCTTCCGGACCGCCCCGGCTGCTGTCACCGAGGCCGAGGGAGGCTAGTCGAGCCACCGCCCTTCAGCTACCCCTCCTGGACAGGGTGGCTTGACAGGCGAGTTCTCAATGGAGATGGGAAGCTCCTTCTGGATTTCACATAAGGCGGCCGATCTGCACTGACGGGTACCTCGCTTCTCTGGTGATGGGCACGACTAATATCCTTGATAGGCTGCCGAAGGCCCGAGGGAACGCGGAGCGAGCCTCGAGAAACCACCATCATTGCGCCGTCTCTTACGGCGCAACCGCCTTGTTGGTCTGATATTTTGCGGTCCATCTTTCCCCTCAGTCATTTCACACTGTTATGGGTGTCGTTGGCGTGTGCGATGCTTTTGTGATCCGAAAATCGATCGGCCGGCCGATCACATCGAGGTGGCTTCTCGACAAATCAGATTCCTGGAAGAATACTCCGAGACTGGTTCGCCAGGACCCTGGTTGTCCGAGTCCTCGGTCGTGATCAGATTGGGTTTCCACATCCAGGTTGATCGACGCGCCATTGGCACCACTTGCTGCTGCGCAGCAAACCATTCTTGACCACCCGCCTCCTCGCATTCCAGCCTTCGTTCACCCAAAAGCAACACCCTTCCGACGAGAGGATTTCGGGAGATGCCCTTTGCGGGTGATCGGCACCGGGGTAACGAACAATGCCCGGTTTTTATTCCCAGTAATTTCCCTTGTTACGCTGCTCTTGCAGGGTTCCGGGGTCAGCCACCAAACATGAGGATCGGACTCCAGCAGGATCTCCGCCCACAGGTATGCAACACAAGATCTGGCGAGCCAAAGCCACAAGATTACCGGGCATGTCTACCATGGAACTGGGACGGCCGCGGTGCCGCTAATCTGAGCTCCGGCGATCCGCGGTCTCGATCGAGAGCTCGGTTCAGCAGTTCATTGCCGGTTTCGTCGCTGGTCGCCCGACGACCCAGCTGCACTCGACCCGCGCTGGGCACCTGGGCTCAGCTGGGACAACCCACCACCCTAGTCCACGGTGTTGGGGGCAGCTTCAGCGCTAATACAGCCATTAATTATCAAGACGTGGGGGCGTCTACCGAGTCGGATCGACCCCAAGTCAACATCACGCAGCCTCGCAACTCAACAACCGCTCGTTGGGGGGGGCCAGGTATGTTTCATCTGTTCACACCGCCCCGCCGACCCCCAAGTGAGGGCGCACCCGGGAACGACGACTAGGCATAGCCCAATACCGCTTTTCCTCATTGACACTCTTGAATTCGAGACAGTGACGCCACCGCAGCCTCACTCACCGCTACCATGTCCGCGTGCATGGGGATGACCCCCGACGGCTTCAATCTATTCTTGCTTTGATATCCCTCATATTTAATTGGACGGGCGGCATCGGGAATGTCTGATCTTCGTCGACCGAGACGATGGCGTGGTTAACACTAGCGTAAGAGCGCTGGCGGAAGATATTAACCCTGAGGCGAGTGAAAACGTGAGCTTCGTGGGTTTGGGTGCGCGATTTGCCGTTGACATGGCCAAGGGAGAGCCTTTGCTTGGTCAGCTACCCCAAAGGCACCAGGGCCGATACACCCATCCACCGAAATCAACATGGTTGGCATGTATCACGGTGAGAAGTACATATGTCGCCGGGTTTCGCACCCGTGTGACCCATGTCTGCCCGAAGAGTTGTGTAATCTGAACCCAGACTTGCTGAGAGCCTGACGTCGACACTTGACGTTCGAGTCCCTTTTAGGAATACCGGATCCCCTCGCGACTTCCATCTGACCAACGAAATGGTTGACGGAGTGAAATGGCCGCTTGCCTGCAGCACCACCCGGGGGACCCCATTGGTGTGACCAAACGAGGAAACCGGGGTGGCAGTTGATACTAAAAATCCAGTGTAGGATAGGGATGGTGCGCTTGTGGCTTTCCTGCATGTCATCATCCCGCCTCCTGAGCTTTAAGCTTCAAACCCCGGTGGCGATCTCAGCCGTGGTGGCATGATCGCAGCGGTATTGACGCTCCGGACTTGATGATATACCCTGCAAAGTGGAGGGCGGAAAGCTCAGAGCGAAGCTAAGGTGACCCCAGGGAGCCGTAACTTCGGGCCGTGGAGCGGGAGCTAAGGTAGCGGGGACGCGGGCTCGCAGTTCCGCGGCACCAGCGCAGGGCCTCCTTGTCGGAGGGGTGGACCAGGCGTGAGTGGCCAACAAATTGGCTAGGGATACGAAGTACGGGGGCGAGCCATAAGGGCCCGTCACAGGTGGCTTGGTCTTGTGGTTGACGAGTCCAGGAAACATCAAGAGCGGCTTCTTCCGAGGTGTTTGAATTTCCCCTGTCGGCCGCCACCCCCACCCCGAGCGCTGATTACTGAGCCTTGATTCGCCAACGTTACACGACGGCCAGGATGCGTTGAGAAGCCAGCTGAACGGCTCATAGGACGCGGAGGACGGTCAGAACACAACCGTCCATCATGGAGAACTTGGAAGTAGCTGAACCAGGGATTTACCCCTGTGAGGCCATCCACTCGAGCCCACGATAGGCCGCTGCAGGTGATGGAAATGCCCCAAAATAACGAAGGCCCTTCTTTAGCGGATCTCCACCCAGGTGTCTCAGACAACGGGCCAACGCGTCTACGACTCACGGATGACTGGTCGCACTACTCTGAGACTTTCACCGGTCTCGAACGTTAGTCGTACCCGAGCAATGGCTTGGTATTCTAGAGAAAAAGACAAAAATACAGACAAGAAGATGAGCAGCAAAAAACCAAGGAAGATCTACTCCAAGGCCGATAACTGTCGGCACAATCTCTGGCCCCTGCTAGCAAGCTCTAGCGAGAGGCCCATGTCCCTTCCCGGCTTCGATGACCGCACAGGGAACTCTCCTTTCCCGACCGGCAGCAATGCGGTTTCCGGGTACTTCAGAATGAGCCTAAAACTTAAGGACCCTTTCTCGCCCCTCCTCTAGAGAAAAAACAACCACAGCCAGAAAAAAGCCCAGAAGAAAAGCCTATCCCCCTTTCCACCACAACTCCCCTCTTCTCCCCCCCCCCAACCACACACACACATACCCACACCACCCACACCACCCCACACACACATCTATCACCTCCGACTCCTCCGAGCGGAAGCAGAAGAAGAAGCCGCCGCCCCACTCCCCGGGTCGGCCCTGCACCCTTCGCAACAGGTGTGGTAGCAGAAGGTGTCCGGGCTGGTCCGCAGCCGGTGCTGGCACCAGCGGTGCTCGTTGGCCCGCCCCCCGCACTGGCAGCACGCCCAGCGCCCGCCGAGCTGCGCCAGCCGGCACCCGCCCGACTCGCAGTCGGGGGAGATTAGGCAGCCGCCGGTTGCGCTGTGTGGGTAACTGTTAGTTGGGTTTGGGTTGGGTTTTTTCTTGTTGTTTGGGGTAATCTTTCTTTGCTTTCTTGCCTGCCTGCCTGCCTGCCTGCCTGCCTTATCTAGAGAGAGGGATGGGGGTGGTGGTGGATGGAAGGGGGGTTGCACCGCCGGGTGAGACCAGGCTGCGAGTACGTACCATGGATCGTTGTAGTCCACCTGGTTCATCGGCGAAGCGTTGTCGCCACAGAAGGCGCGGTCGCACGGCTGCCTCTCGCCCGTGATTGGGTCGGCCATGGCCCATTGGCAGTACTCGTAGTTGATGATGATCTCGATTGGCCGCGTGCAGGGTGGGAGGTCTGGAACCAAAAGCGGCAGTGTCAGTCAGCGTGCGTGTGTTCGTGTGTGCGGTTAGTGACAACCTGGAAGGGGAAGAAAGGAGGTGAAATGGCTTCGGCTTTTGGCTTGGTTGGTTGGGTGTGGTCGGCGCGGCGTGTGCGAAGAGGCCGTGATGCGCCGGTGGCAAAGACATCGGCCAAAAGTTCCCGAGCCAGCCGTGGAGGAGGGGGCCAATGGAGCTGGGGGGCTGGGGTTGACGTACGGTGGTGGTGGGAGTAGCTCCAGAAACACATCTTGGTGAGTTTTCGTCCTTTTCTGTTTCTCGCACTTTTCTTCTTTACTTTCTCCTTTCTTTTTCTTGTATCGACCTTTTCCCAGTCTTGGAGCTTGACCTTGGGGTACGTATGGCCGTTCTTTTGTTAGTCCTTGGTGTTTTTTTCCTTCGTGTCGAGGGTGGGGCCGTCGACGAGGTCGCAAGACGGCCAGTGGCACGTTCTTGGAATGAGAGGATGTCGAGTGATGCGCTGTTATGTCGTGATGCCCAGGGTCGAAGCCGGAGAGGGGTGGAGGTTGATGATACCAACGGGAAGTCTTCTCTTAACGGGTGCCGGTTAGGGCGAAGAGACAACTGATATACCGAGTGGGGATATCGTTGTTTAGAATGATGGATTAGACACAGCTTTGGGTTGGTCGTTCTGGGTGATCGTGTTTGTTCACGGGCCCAGCGATGGCCTGGAGATTCGGACGGGGACGTCAAGTGACGGCGAGGCGTTCAAGTGACGGACCTTGGACGGATGGTCGAGGCTAAACTAAAGCGGAGGGGGAAAGAGGATCCGCAAGGCGAGACCACCGAGTGGTTGTTGAGGACGGCAAAACTGAGCTGTGAGAGGGTATGGTGGACGCTGACTGCGGACAAGGAGGTTGATAGGTGAGGTTGAATGGAGGGGGAGTTCAGCACGGCTCGTGCCAACGGCAACGTCTTCGATGATGTTTACACGGCGGGATGCTGGTGTTGTCCGGGCATTTCAAACAAGGAATTCGGCGACACAATCCTTTATATATCAGCCCGACCGGTTGAAGGGAGACGAGGACCGCAAGGCTGTTGGTGTTGACGAAGCCTGGTAGGGACCACCAGCTGCGGCATCGACGAAAACGGTGTGACCGTGTGTCTGACTTCCCAGCCGTCCGCAGCACACCGGCCCTCTTCAACCCCTCCTCCTCTTGCTAGGCGATTGGGCTTTGTCGTCATGAAGCCTTCCCCCCGGTGGCTAAGCTCTGACTCCGAAACCTTGGCAATATTTTGTTCTGGGGCTCTGTGCCATGAGGCGGGGGGGCCCGAGTCGTCATCAAAGACGAATGGGGAAACCATAGGCGCCCGGGGGCCCCAATCTGTCTCGTCACTTGGTTGGCGCCCATTATTGATAGCCATTGTCCAACATAACGGTAAAGCACGTGGCCCCGGGGTAGTCCGTGAGCTTGCCTGCCCGCAGGGTGTGGTAGAAACGTGGTACAGTGCGGGTGTGGGCTCGAGACAGGAGTGACACAAAGCTGAGACATCGTCTTCTCTCACCCCCACGGTGGCACGGATGGAGTACTCTTAGCAACTTTGGGTTCCGAAAGAGGTCAGACAAGGCGTTTTCATTGGCAGTAGCTGACATCTAAGACAAGGTTGGGCTTGTTATATCACCTTATTTGGTTATTTTGGCGCCGGTTGCCTCGGTTCAGCCCCATCATCCAGCACCGAGGGCTCGGGTCCGCCGGAAGTCGAAGCCTTGTACCAACGCCGGACCCCGGAACTTGCCATGAAGAACATTCTATTAATATTCCAAGCCGAATCTGTCGGAGCTGAAGTCGCCTACAGTACCCGGGCTTGCTGTTTCTCATCCCATCCCAGCCCCCCCTCGAGGTTCGGGCACTTCCTTCATTACCGCCCACTCCTCTCACTGAGACACGGAGAGGCGCGATGGGAAACAAATTCAAACCCGGTGTGAAGCACAGATCTCCACTGCCACTATTTACAGCAACATTGACAAGAATTAATGAGAAAGCAAAAGCTTATTGATAAGATCCCGCCCGCCACGGGTGCCGATTGGATAGTTCGACTCTTCCAGGTCGGACTCCTCACACACCTTGGATACGCTTCTGAGGGGGTAAACCATTGACGTCTCATGTACAGGGGGGCACGAAGCAGGGGGGGGATGACAGTTCTAGAACGGACCCCATAAACCTTCTACCAAGACCCATGACTTCCAAGTTTCGTCCTTGATTTGGCAGGCACTTGAGGGGAATGAAGTCGAGATTGGGGTCTTGGGGATGATGGGGAGCGGGGTTGAAGCGGCTCTTACATCGCACAGCCACCCCCCCTTGGATCCCTGTAACCTGTTCCATCTTTTTGACGTCTCAACGGTTTTGGAGGCGAGATCAGAAGATCTGCGCCGACGGCGATCACCCAGACCAGATCGACTGCGCAGACGCGGGCCATATCGCGGCATCGTACTGTACGGATGGTAATCATGATCAATGGCATGTTGCTGCCGTCGATCACGAAGCCGTGGAAGTTTCTATAAAAAGGAATGCATCTCTTCGAGATACAAGAAAAGCCGTTGCCAAGCCGGGAGCTACTTCGAGCTGAGACGCAGCGGTTTTCTTGCGTCAACCTCCATTCGCTTTCCACATGCTTTGGAATTTAAGATGCTGATGAAGCACAGATTCCCCCCTCTCCAGCCTGGGGCGATGACGACGGGGCTGTTCTCGATCTGCCTAGGGTGTGACTGAAACCCTAGCGATGGAGTCTTGATACACCAAGCGGGAACCCCGTCCCGATCCCCAGTCGTATCTCTCCGCGCGACCTGTCGATCAAAAGATAAAGTATTCTCGAAAATATCATTAGAGAATTCAATTTGTCTTCATCAAAGCATTCCCTGCCATCGACCGGGAATTTTCAGACACTTTCCCCGCCATGTGAAGGCTTGACCTGCTTGACATGCTTGGCCCTAACAGACTAAGAAACCAAGACTGAAACGTGTCAAAGTTTCAAACAAAACGTCGTTCTCATAGGGCAACACGAGCCCTCTTTGCCGAAAACCCAGATCTAAATGCGTCGGCGCTTCTTCCCAAACACACGCGCCGAGCTTTGTGGACCGATGACCGGATGAGCAACTAGTCTTGACAATCTGGTGGCAATACTTCCTTGAACTATAACGGGCTGTGCCCGAGGTGGGCCTCGCTAACCCTCGGCCAGCTCACGTACAAGCACGGTCCACCGAACCCCTGGATGAAGCTATTCCCAGTTGCCCCACAGCACACCGAACATTCTAGCAATGCGCTCGGGCCACCGCACTCGCGATCATAAAGCAGCCCCACGAGCTGCCAGAGTCTCTCATCTTCCCTTTTCTTCTTTAATCTTAGTGTACTCGTAGAGTCGTCACCAGTTAGTTGCAATATACTCCTGGGACCGTTACATGAACCACCTATGGAGGCAGTGAGTGAATCAACTACTGTAGTTATCTTTTCTATCACTTCCTACGATAACAGCTTCTCTCTCCCATAAGCCAAACCGAAACGGTGAAACTTCATGTCTTCTATTAACTATTGCTCATCACCCGGAAATGCCGACGGGTGGTCTTTGCCTGTGCAAACCGTTCATTCAACCGCCTTTTCCGATGCCGACCAAACCTATGAATAGAATAGAGTAAACGCCAAACATGGGCTAAATGTGCAGTTGAAACACCAGGCGGCTAGGTTGTTAGAGGTTGAAACAGGATGAGAAAACAACTGTCAGGACGGCAACCGCCACCCATGGGTGTTTTGTCTCCATTTTTAGAAAAGAAGCCCCGGGGCAGAAAGAGACTATCAGATCGTCCGGCCGAAGTTAGGTTGCTTTTTGTCGTGGAAAGGAAAAGAAACATACTTGATGCAAAACAGCATCAATTCATTCCGAGACATTCCTGACGACGGCTCCTGCTTGTGATCCTGCCGCTTTGCCCGTGACGTGTGTGGCGGTACAGGGTGCAATTGCGTCGTAGCTTTTGCGACAACATGGAAAGCAAGTCTTCGAATCCTTTCGGTGACAGTTCCAGCTTGATCTCCGAGGTACCACAAGGCGTCACGAATCCTCCGCCCGAGACTCCCGATGTGTGTCTACGACCGAGGACAAAGCACGTAATACCGCCACAGCCCTGCCAGTGACACCCTCCGCCTGCATGCAAGGATCTTCATATATCACACGTGAGAATCAGATCTGTCTATCTACATGCTACTAATCATAGCACTTCGTGGCCCCGAACATCGTTCAAGTCCCCTTGGAGAAGGATACGACCGCCCACTTCCCGTTCCACGCCCACTTGCGCGCGCCCGACTCACCGCCCCCGTCCTCCATCGCCTTGAGCTTCTCGTCCTCGCCCGGCTTCAGCCCCACCACGACATCGGCCTTGCAGGTCCGCAGCGCCAGCACGTTGAGCCCCGAGCCCGGCCCGAGCGGGCCAATGGCATCGGCGAACGGCGTCGTCGGGTCCCAGGCAACCTGCACAGATCAGTCAGTCAGCTACCCAACCGGTATTCATCAAAACAAAAGAAGAGTTGCTCACATCGCCAACCAGCTTCCGATAGTTCAAATCGCCCTTAAACACAACCAACTCGCCCTCGCGCAAGTCCTCCACCAACCCCTCCGCCTCACCCGGCAGGCGCCAAAAGCTCCCCGGCCCCGTCCACACGCGGTTCGGCCTCAGCACGAGCTGGCCCTCGGCATGAAAGCGGCTCCACTCGGCAAACAAGAACCCCAACTCCTCCACCTCCGCCTCGCTCAGCCGAGGCGGCTCGACGCCCTGCAGGGTATCCTCCTCGGTGGGGGTCTCGTAGAAGGCGCGGGGGTCGGCCAGCGCGGTCAGCAGCGAGGCAAAGTCGGCGGGCAGCACGTCCGACACAAACCAGGGGATCGACTTGGGGTGCAGCACCACGGTGGTGGCCAGCCCGGCCGACAGCAGATAGCCGGCGAGGACCAGGTCGACGTACAGCTCGAAGCCGGCGTTGTCGAGGACGATATCCACGCGGCGCTGGGCGCCCGCCGGCTTATCCTTCTTGGCCGCACGCAGGTGGGCAAAGACCTGCGGCAGGTCGTTGACGAGGATGTTCTTCTCGGCGGCGCGGCGGGCCTCGGAGCCCTGCAGCTTCTGGATGTCCTCGTAGGTCAGGCTGGTGAGCAGCGAGAGGTCGGTGGCGTTGCCCCAGAGACAGACCTCGCACATCTCGGCGAAGAGCAGGGCGTCGGCTTCCGGGTCGTGCGGGGCCTGGGACCGCAGTTGTGTGACCAGGTCCTTGTAGCGCGCGGCGAGCTCGAGGACGGCCGGGCGGGAGGATCGGAAGGTCTTGATCTTTTGGCGGGCGAAGACGTCGTAGGATTTCCAGTGCGTGGAGAGGGCGAAGGAGGTGGATATGCGGCTGAGTGGGAAGGAGGAGAGGTGGTTAGTTAAGGGGTTGGGTGGGATGGTAAGGGTGGTGATGGTACCGGAAGAGATAGCACTCGGTGAAGAGCCAGGGGGCGTTGTGCCAGGTGATTTTACCGAGCTGCTCGAGCTCCTTGTTGTATCCGGCCACGTCGGGGTGGCCATCATCGCGGATGGGCCTGTAGTGCCGTATCTTTAGCCGCTGTTCTTCGCCTCGAAAAATTGCAGGCGTACCCACGTCAAGGCCCGGTCGTGTTGCACCTCGTACTTGAGCGCGGCGAGTTCGGCGACGATCTTCTTGCCCTCTTCTTGCTTCTCGCCGGCATCGCAGGAACCCACGGTGCGGTAGGCATCGTCAATCGCTTGGGTCTAGAGGTGTAGAATTATTAGTGGATGCCCTCGAGGTTCGGATAGAAGTTGGCAAGCGGTAACCGACGATGATGATGGGCCATCGCTGACGGGCCGTCTGCCAGGCGAACGATGTTGGGTCGGCCGTCGAGTAAGGCGCTGCAAGGATGGGAGTCAGTCTTGCGTCGAATGGGTAAAGAGAGAGTGCCCCGTACCGAGCTTGGGGTCGAGATCCATCTTGGCGGTTGGTTGGCAAGTGGTCGTGTTGTTGCTTGGGGGGATGGAATGGGAGTGTTTATTGGCGGGGTAGCTTTGGAGGGGTCAATTCGGGGGCGCGATAGCGATGTCGGGCTCGGCGGACAGGGGAGTTGGAGTTTCCTTGCCTTCTCTGAGCACCATTCGTCTGTTGCGAGTAATGTTCACAGGATAATTTATGTTTGACAGGAGAAGTTGAGTTATATTTATGTCGTCATCATCATCATTATTTACATTCTTTGAGTTGTGTCTAGTCGTTAATCATCACGGCGGATATCAACACCCCTGATAACCCCCGGCCCCCTAAAAACACAAAAACAACACCTGAACCAAAACGCCATGGTATCTCTCCCAAACTAACAGAAATAAACAACTTCAATACCCCATCCCCGTAACGGCCCCCACAGCCAGAACCTCAATCCGCCCCGCATACAGCTTCATCATATGCGCGACAGGATCCCCCCAAACAACACCGCGCAGCTGCTCATCCGTAACAATCTGCGCGACGACACCCTCGTGCAGGCGCTCTTCGACCGTCGTCTTGCCCCTCCGTAGCCGCGCCTTGGGATCACCCGACCGCAGCACCACCACGCGGCCCGCACAGCTCAGCGTGCTCGGCGGGACGTTCCACGCCGGGCCGGAGGCTTTGGACGACGACGACGACCGTGAGGTTGTTGTGAGTGCTGATGATACGGTGGTGGAGGATGATTTGCTGGAAGCTTTCTCGCTGCTGCGCCGCGACTTCTTGCTGTTGCTTCGCGAAGATATAGATTTTCGCGAGTCTGTGGTGGCCCGCGGTGTTGGCGCGGCGAAGAGCTCGAGAAGGCTCTTGACGTACGCCTTGTCGGCGCGCGTTACGGGGTCGCCTTCGTTGACGAAGCTGAGGAAGACGCTTTTCCTGAGGTGGGGCCGTCGAAGGTAATCGCTGGGTTTTGTTAGAGGGACTAGGCTGATGGGTGGTGTGCCGAAGGTGATGCAATGGATGCGCTTAAAGCAGCCGGCGACGATATTGAGGTCCGTTTCGGCCTCCTTGGAGGTCGCGAGCATATGGCTGTAAAGGAGAGCAGCAACTGCACCGCCAGCGCTGTGGCCTGTGATAAGGAGAGAGTAAGACGCTCGCCACGGGTCCTCCTCGAGAAGTTGACGGAGGCGGCGGGCGACTGGGGTCACCATCTTGCGGGCGACAGAGAGAAAACCAGAGTGGCAAAGGTTACCCGGGTCGTCCTGGGTTGCTGAGTTAGCATCAGAATGTCTCTGGGGACAATGTAATAACATACCAGGAAGCCCGCCGGCGATGTTGGCGTCATATCCAGGTTCACCGCCCAGTCCATAAAGGTAGCCGTACCGCGAATGGCAAAGACGATGGTGTTCATGGAGTCCATGGGTATTGATTTGATCACCATGGCCTTGGTACCCGTTCTCCAGTCGGCGTCAACGTGGGCATCTCGCTCGGCGCGCGCAGTTGGCGGCTCATACACCCTTTCCGAGTATTGGGCCGCTAGACAAAGCAGGGGGTATGTTGGGATGTATCTGAGATCTTATTAGTAAAGACGCTGGACGACTGGGCATTGGAACCCATACAGTTTGAGCGGCGGTAGGTTCATCGGTAGCCTCGAATTCGAGTAGTGGTCCACCTTCGCGAAGAAGCTCCCCGAGACAACCGCAGCGGCAGCAGTTGTTTGGCCCTTTGGATGCGCTTTCCCATGGCTCTTCCTACTGGACTTGGAAGCCACTTTCTCAACGGCTGGTAACTCGGGTGATGGTGGGTGACCGGAGGTTTGCGCAGATTGCCACGCAAATATGTCGTGCTCTTTCCCATTGTAGCCGCCACAGTCGATTTTGGTCAAGACGTTGTCGAACCGGTGAGATATCTCATCCACCATGGCGTTGCTCTGGCTGACTAGCTCTCCCCCGCAGCTCTGCCATGACGGCGGTAGCATTCCATCTAGCAGTTGCTGGGTACCCTGATGGACGCGATTCGAAACCTTCTCTACCACGTTGTTGCTTTGGCTAACTAGCTGGTTTCCACAGTTGTGCCACGCCGCGAGGCTATCGTCTAGTAGCTGCTCGGTGCCCTGATATACCTCCTTGGCCAAGTCCGCTGCGGATCCCAGATTCAGTTTGCCAAAGGATGCGCTGGGTGCGTATGACGGTGGCGGGGCTTCCCTGGGAGGTGGTGCACCGAGATAATAGTGGTTTTGGTTCACCACAATGGGCGGATATGAGCCATGGTGGTGATACTGAGGTGGGGATTGCGCTTCACCATTCCACCCAGGAGGTGGAGGAAGTAGACCTGCTGGCTGGAAAGGGGTTGGCGGGACTTGGATTGGCGATGGCGGCGACGGTCGACTCTGCAAAGACGACCTTCGACCCTTGGATTGCGAAGGCGGTGAGTCTTTCTTCACCTTCTTGGATCTGAGGAAGAACCCCATGTTGGCGAAGGGTTCAGCATCGATGAGTCACCCTAGATGTTGCTTCACTTGCAGAAATAATGGGACTGAGTGAGGGTACCCGACGCGGCAGAAGTAGAGAAACAGGATGAGAGGCAGAAGTCACTCGAGCTCTGGTCGGTGATGTCCGAGGAAGAGATCGAAAAGGCCAAGAGACAGCGGCCCGATCAGTCTAAGAGGTCTGGTGACACCACGCAGTTGAACCCGAGGCAAACGGCGGTCCTCCAGGTCCCTCCAGGTCGGGGCGGGAGTGCCTTGCTGCTTCTGCAGCCAAGAATGACTCGACATCCCAGTCCCGGCAGACTGTGTGCTCCCATTCGCTGTTGTGACATTGCTTCGCCTCGAATCGCGATCCGCGGTGGCGGGTTGGCAGACCCGACCGACCCATCTCCGGCCAACTACCGGGCTCGGAATTATGGTCTGCATGCGAAAACCCCAGGAAAGGTTCCATTGTTCTCTCGTAGCCGCCAAGCTAGTGTCGCGCGGGTGGGGGGTACTTCGGATTTGATGGCGACACTTCACTCAGCATGTGGCCCAACGCCAGTTAGCGTGTTCCTGGTGCAGAGATGCAGATGCCCGTCTGCGGCCTGTGGGCCGTGGGCCAGTAAACATGCGGGCCAGCCGTTAAAGAATGGTACTTGTCAAAAACACTGGCTGTCGTTTGACCCCTGGACTGCGAGAAAGCCTTGACTTTTTGATAAAGCTGCGGGGGATGCGTTGGCTTCTCCATCCCCCAGATTACGTAGGTTGTAATGGGATGCACTAGGAAGCCGCCCATACCGCCGGCAGGTTACAATGGGGTTGCGGGAAAGTGCATGATCAGGTTATTCGGTGGTGCCCAACATGATGTTTCCGAAAATGGTCTGATTAGAAAGAAAGGGATGATGTTCGTGGGTGGAAGAACAGTATTGGTGTTCCTGGCTGGGGAGTCGGGGAGTGCCCGTTGGGGATGGAATGAGATCCGGGGATTATCGTGGGGGAAGAGAAAAGCTGCAGGTGGGCCCAACCTGCCCGCTTGCGAAATGGCTGGCACCATTGGCTGTGATGCAGTGGAATTGTCTGTGCTCTCAACCCCAGCAGCTGCTGCCGGCCGAGGAAGCGACAGAGGGGCCTGGACCTGCAGCTGCAGTGCAGCCCGATGCTTCAACGGCCAAACAATTTCGCGGCACTTGGAACACGACAGTTCATGCATCACCGAGCAGGAGAGCTCCGGACTAGCCCGCCGAGGTAACCGTCTACACCATTTGGATTCTTTCCCGAGATGAGTACAGGGACGCCATGGACTTTGTAAGTGATTGTCCTGTCAAATTTAGGATCAGATGGATGATGGGTGAATGGATGTTGCGAGGTGCTCCAAACAGTGAACGGATCCGCTAATTTAACACCCCCAACTTCCAGTGGTCGCGCCTCCTAGCACACACGCCGCTGTCGTCGGCTGGTTCCCGCAAGGACTTTGCGAAGGACCCTGCCCGTCGCCTACATCGGTTCGAGAAGGAGTACAGCCAGTTGCTGGTGAGCATGGTCCGGGTTATGGAAAACGGCAACCCGAAGCTGACGTCTCCAGCACGCATGGCGCAACTCGTCCAACCTTGCTCACGATGACGAAGCCGCCGAACATATCGAGATCCGCCTTCAGGAACTGACGAACCTTCTCAACGACGAGTCCCGCCGACCGCTACCCCATCCCTGCATCTCCTTCGCCGCCGCTAAGCAGGTCTACATCCCCGTGGCCAAGATCGCAACGAGTTCCTTCAACGAGTGGATCATCAAGGAAGCCGTACTCTTCTTTGCGAGCCTGATCGAGAGCGAGGAGGAGGCCTTTGTCGAGAATGAAACCTTCGCCGCGAGTTTGACGAACCTGCTGGTCCGGATAACTGGCGCTAACAGCATCCGTCTCGGAGCCGATACCGAAGCCCGCGTCGTCGAGTTGGCTTTCAACATCACGACCAAGATCCGTCTCGACCCAGAGATCCTGACCGCCTGGTTCAGGTCTCAACAACATGGCCCGTCAGACACAAAACAACTGGACCACCGTGAGAAGTTCGCAGGGAAGACACAGAAGCAGGACTTCCCCCTGTTCTACCTGCTCATGGACTACATCCACCATGAGGGCAAGATCGGCGACTTTGCGAGGACTGGCCTGCTTTACATCATCGAAGCTGCTTCAAGCTCGGTTCCTCTAGAACAGTGGATTGTGGAAAGTGATTTATCGACTCTGATGGCAACAGGCCTGGGTGCTCTGTATAGCCAACTGAGCCGCAAGCTTGTGATCGATCACCTTCCCAACGAACTCCCCCCTATCCTCGCCTTCTCCGACTACCAACATCCCAAGTCCAACTACGAGGTTGTCAGCTCTTGTTCTTTCCAGTTCCAGTCCCATCTGGATACATTTCTGTCCCACCTCCTTTTTTGGCAGGATGTCCTGAACCACTGCAGGTCCGTCGAGGTCAAGTCGACTCTCCTGGAGCATTTCCAGGTCATCTTCTTGCAACAGCTCTTGTAGGTCTCCTTGACTGGCCCTGCCAATCTACTGCTCACCGTTCCCTAGATACCCCTCCCTCCTCGAGTCTTCCGACGTCGACGGGCGGTTCCTCCGTCGCTGTTTTGACGTACCTCCGCCGTATCCTCGAATCGCTGGATCACCCTGACATGGTCAACCTCATCCTCCACTATCTGCTCGGCCTGCCTGACCTTGTGAGTTCCGTCAGCTCTAATACCGTAGATGTCGTGAGCGCCGCCCGCAAGCGCAAGTCGATGGACCTGGCCACCATGATGGCCTCCAAGGGAGAGACCGCTGCAGACCCGTTGCTGTTCAATCTTGTCGATCTTATCCTGGCTTGTCTTCGGTCGCGGAACAACCAGACAGTTTACGTCACTCTTCAACTGGTATCGGTGATTCTTAAGAGGCATCACCGGTACGCAGTGATCACTTTGCTCTACACCGAAGGTGTTCTGGGCGAGTCTCATCACCGGACATCAGGTGCTCACCAGCAGGAGGTCGAGTACTTAATGTCCTTAGCAGGAAGCATCGGAGGAGAGGATAACTTTGACGAGATCTACGATAATATCCTGAAGGACACCCTGTTACGCTTGGAAAACCACCCCTGTTCCATCAAGTTAGTTACGCCGAAAACATCAACGCACAACCACAAGCTCCCGGCGGTCCCTGATTCTCTCCCGGGTGCGCCGAGGGATGTCCGGTCACACACCCTTCATCCGAGTGACCCCCTGCTCAACATCGTCTTGGATCGGCTGGACACCTTTTTTCTCAACTCGGTCGACACCAATCTTGCCTTGACGGAAGCCATCTTCGACCTCGCCGTGTGCGGCTTTATGCACCTCGAAGGTTGGTTCATGCGGAATCCGCTCAACTACGTTTACGAAGAGGAGGACGACAGCCCGCCGTTACCCGAGCCCCCGCTGGACCCCGAATCCCAAGAGTACATCGAGTACAAGCAGATGCAGTCGATGCAGGAAGCTCGCCGTCGCCCGAGGTGGATTCAGTCGGCCCTACCTCGCCTGCTGAAGATATTGCAGACCCTTTGTGACCAGGTCGCCGGCTACCGGGAAACCGTCCCGCGCTTTGACGATCTGCTGCAGCAACGCCGGGAGGCTTTCCAAATAGCAGATTCTGCTAGCCAGGCCCTTCCCCTTCATCCTCCCCGGGCCAGAACCCCGGTCTCTTCGACGGCCGGCACGGCCACCCCCAGTACAGAACGGACAGTTATTTACAACGACGAAGGGCGCGAGACGTCCCGTGAGCGGCCCTCTGGTCTCGAGGGGTTTGCCCAGCGCCTCCTCTCCGAGCTAAGCACGCCTACCCGTTCCGGCAGTCCGCAGAGCCGAAAGGAAGGAAAACGGGCGGTCTCGGACCGCTCTACGCCCATTTCCTTCCCCTCCACTGACACTCCTTTGCACCTGCCGCCGCCGCAAATCGGCCGATCATTCTCGCCCCGAAGCCCTTCTCCTTCGAATGGTGCTTGGGATAACGACAAACCTGACGCCTTCGCAAGTCAAGCGAAAGCATTCCAGGCCGTCGACCAAAGCATCCTTGCCCGGCGCGTCGGCGTCCCCGACGTCAAGTCCTCGGAGAAGTCAATAGAGCCGATTGGTCTGAGCTTTGACAGACAGCGCACAGCCGGCGGCGTATCCTCGGCAGACGAGAAATACGCTGCTGACGAGGAGGAGGCCAAGGCGGAGGAGGGCGGCGGTGAGGACGCGCTTCTCGCGCCGTCAGAAGACGGAGAGCAGACGGACGACGACGATCGTGATGGGGCTGCTGGCGGGGCCGGGGAGGGCGAGCCGGTGACGCCGACTATCGACCGGTCGGTGTCGGTGTCACATGTGCTGACGAATGTTGTTGTGTTGCAGGCATTCTTGTTTGAGCTGGCTAGTGTGGTGCAGGTGCGCGCTGGTTTGTTTGACGAGGTGCGGTTTGCTTAGGGGGCGGACGAGGCGGGAAGTGATACTTCAGATGTTGGGGTATGCGGGGATACGCCAATTGGAAATGTGGTATCGTCGCTTGTTGAGGATGGGGGAGATAGGGACTGGTTAGGCCCCGCGTTTGACGCGAGGGATGTTCTAAGGGGGTTGCTTGGGCTCTACTCGTGAGCACTGAGTCGGGACAGAGAGAGGTAGGCTTGGGATTTTGGGATGCATTGCTTGGTGTTAGTGGACTGCTCGTATTGTTGACGCGGAGTTAGTGTTATATGACATGGTGCTTGCATACTATTGAGTTGAACTTCCCCCGCTTCCCTTTCGGTCTGTGTTTTGCGAGGGGTTCACACATTTCCATTTCCATTATCCCATACACAGCCATCTAGGCGTTGACTTCACGCGGCAAGACACCCGCGAACATCATCAAACATCCTACGGGGCCAAGCAACTTCGCGTCGCTAGTTATCGGCCCGAGTATTTGGGGCTCGTTTTTAACCTTTAGCCTCGTACCTCAAAGCTTCGAGAATATTTTGCGCGCCTTCTAGACAAAGCTGTGGTTGGATTTTGACGCACACCCTTGCCCCTGAGCTTCGGAACTGGAACCGAACCCGGTTTCACCAACCGCCATCACCATTCACCCAACACCACGAGGTCGCATCCGATCTATTAAATACCCGCATAATGTCGCAGGGCTCGGCAGGTGCATCTGAAGGCCAACTAACGAATGTCAAACTTTAAGCCAACAGCGCATGATGATGCATTGACCAAAGCCATATTTACAGCCAGGGAGCGTGGTGGTTGTGTGGTCCAGGGGCAACAATCCCATACTGAAACGCGCAAGATCGACGACAGCAGATCGGCTCGCCTCAACATTGACCTGTCGAACGAGCTGAAATAGCATGGGAGTACAATAAGCCTGTGTGGGCGCGACTTCACGGAGAAACAGATGTGAGTATCTCATAGACAGCCTGGCCTCCTCACGATTATGTGGTATTTTGGTGATCCGGGGAAACGATAGATATAAGCTCTGTTCCCCTTTTAGGAAGGAATACAAGGAGTATTAGTTCAACGATTGGCCATCCCACATCCAACCATCCAACCATCCAACCATCCAACCATCCAACCATCCAACCATCCAACCATCCAACCATCCAACCATCCAACCATCCAACCATCCAACCATCCAACCATCCAACCATCCAACCATCCAACCATCCAACCATCCAACCATCCAACCATCCAACCATCCAACCATCCAACCATCCAACCATCCAACAGCATCACGACTTCTGGGAGCATCACCAAGAACGAAACCACAGGAAATCTCACAATGGCGAGACTCGCAACAGCCTTGCTGTTGGCATCCAGCCTAGCATCCAGCACAACAGCACAGAACCAGACTCAAGGCCAGGGCCTGCATTCACTGATGGTGGCCGCGGGTAAACTCTACTTCGGCACAGCCATGGAGACAAACAACTTCAACGACGCAGCCTACCACGCCATTGCCAGCAACAAGAACGAGTTCGGCATGTTCACCCCTGAAAACTCACAGAAATGGGAGGTGACAGAACCCACACAAAACAAATTCTCCTTCACCCAAGCGGACAGCATCGCCGCGAAGGTCCAGTCCAACGGCCAACGCTTCCGCTGCCACACCCTGTACCTGGCATTCCCAACTCCCCCCTTTCGGTAAGCCACCCCTCAAACCCCCCCCCCTCCCAAACCCTCACCACCCTAACCACCACCAACCCAGTCTCTAACGGCACCTGGACCCCCGCGACCCTCACCGCCGTCCTCACCGCCCACATCACCACCGTCATGCAGCACTACGCCGGCCAATGCTACGCCTGGGACGTGGTCAACGAAGCGCTCTCCGAAGACGGCACGCTACGCCCCTCCATCTTCCTCACCACCCTCGGCGCCTCCTACATCCCACTCTCCTTCACCATCGCCTCCCGCGCCGACCCCACCGCCAAGCTCTACTACAACGACTTCAACCTGGAAACCACCCCCGCCAAAGCCGCCGGCGCCCTCGCCCTCCTCCGCACCATCCAAGCCGCGCGCGCCCCCATTCACGGCATCGGTTTCCAAGCCCATCTCACCGTCGGCCAAACCCCGCCCCGCGCCAACCTCGCCGCCCTGCTGCGCCGGTTCGCGGCGCTGGGCGTCGAGGTCGCGTACACGGAGCTGGATATCGCGCATGCCGAGGGGACGCTACCGGCGGGGGAGGCGGCGCGGGAGAGGCAGGCGGGGGATTATGTTGCGGTGGTGGGGTCGTGTCTGGATGTAGAGGCGTGTGTGGGGGTCACGGTGTGGCCAGTTTAGTGATCGGTATAGTTGGGTGCCCGGGGACGTTTCCGGGGAAGGGGGAGGCGTGTTTGTTGGACGGCGGGGATGGAGAAGAAAGTCGCGTATGCCAGGGTGGTGGAGTTGTTGAGGGGGGCGGCGGCGGTGGTGGGGAATGGGTCGAGGGGTGTGGATGGGGGGGCGGGTGTTGGTATGGGTGGGAGTGGGAGGGGGATGGGGCCGAATCGGACGGGGGGTGTGGGTGAGGCGGGACGGCCGGCGTTTATGGCGCCGCCGCCGGGGTTTAATGGTGCGGTTAGGGTTTGGGGTGGGTTGGTTGGGCTGGTGGTCCCGGCTGTGGCGGCGCTGGTTCTTTTGTAAGTGGTCTCTCTCTTGGGCTGGGGCTGGCGTCGTGGAAAGGGGGTGTTGCTCTGGCGTTATGGCATGGTGCGGAATGGGTACCGAGCAAATGAACAGGGTTTAGTCTAAGTCGGAGTGATGATTTGAGCGCAGGTAAAACAGCATACCTCGTGACAATGTACGGGATGATGAGGTTGGCTCACCCAGGGGTAGGTTGGAAGGTCTTTTGATGTATACAGGTTTGACGACCAATTCCCTCATTTACAGCTTTATATCCTATGCCATGCAACCTTCTAGTCCCTTCATCTTCTATAATGCCCCCTTTCTAAATGTTTCCATGCAACAGCTCGCACCGCTTTTTGAACCAACCCTCCCTTACACGGCAGGCATGACACCCTGCGGGAAGTGGAACACGTCCTCGGGATCAACGTCCTTCTTGATGGCCTGCAACTTGGGCAGGTTGTCACCCCAGTAGTTGAGCTGCGCGTCCTTCTGGTCGAGCCTCGAGTTCGGGTAGTTGATGTACATGCCCCAGTCACTCCGCTCCATCCCCTGGGTGATGTTGCCGGCAAAGTTCTCCATGACGGTGTGGCCCTCGGCCGGGTACTCGCCCTTGTCGACACGGTCGTACAGGAGGTACATTAGGAGGTAGTCGCGGTGGGCATACGCGGTCGAGTCCGCCGCGGGCGCCGACACAGCCGAGTTCTCACCGCCGTGCAGGTCGATCTGCACGTACCAGTCCCTCGTGTTGTTCTTGGCCTGGTTGAACCAGTACCCAACAAAATTCTGCAGCTGCTCGTCGTTGAGCTCCTTGGTGTACAGGCTGGTCGAGTAAAAGGTTTCGTGCTGGGCAAGTCTGTCAGTAAAGCCTCCGTCAGGGGTATCCATCAACCCGAAACTCACCTCCTCATAACCATGCCCCTGATCAATATTCGAACCCCCACCAAAATGCTTAATCTGCTCCATCCAGTCCCCCGTCGTCGCCAACGCCAGCGTAGCATTCGTCTTGGCCACCAACGGCGCCAGCGCAGCCTTCAGGCCCTCCTTATCCCCATAAAACAGCCCCTCCAAATTAACAAACCGCCTCGCAATAAACAAGCGCATATTCAGCTCCGCCGGCATGGTCTTCGCAAACTCCTGCACGGCGGTAACCCCCACCAGCGCCCTCGCCTCGGTCGGCCACTGCACGGGCGCCACGAAGTAGGTCAGCTGGCCGGGGGCCTCGAACGTCTTGAGCCGGAACTCGGTCACGATCCCCATGGACGCCCCCGCCCCGCGCAGCGCCCAGAACAGCTCGCCGTGCTGCGTCTCCGAGCACTCCACCACCGTGCCGTTGGCCAGCACCACCGTGGCGCCGATCACGTAGTCGAGGGCTAGGCCGTGCGTGTGCGAGCTCATCCCGTACCCGCCGTGGAGGAGGTGGCCGCCGACGCCGACGCTGGGGTAGTGTTAGTCAATGGTTTCTTTTACGGGGGGTTGGTTTGGTAGTTGGTTGGGTTCCTTACCCCGGGCATGTCCCGTGGCTGATGGCCCGCTTCCCCTGGGTGTAGAGTTCCATGGCGAGATGGCCCAGGCGGGTACCGCCCTCGGCCGTGGCGATGCCCGTGACGTTGTCCAGAACAACCTTGTTCATGCGGCTCATCTCGATGACCAGATGACCGTCCTCACCGCCCAGACCAAAGGAAGCGTAGCTGTGCCCGCCGCACTTGGCCGTCGGCTTGATGCCGAACTTGTTGGCGCACACGACGGCATCCTGCACGTGCTGGGCCGTCGAGGCGGCAACGACGGCCGCCGGCGTGTAGTTGAGCCGGAGGTTGAAGCTCGCGACGTCGATCTTGTATTCGGGCGTCCCGGACTCGCCGATGGGCACGCCGGCCTTGGTGAGGCAGTCGGTGAGGGTGCCTGTCTCGTTGGAGAAGCGGGCGAAGGAGGCGGCGTGGGAGGTCGCCGCCAGGCCCAGAAGGGCCAGGAGGGGTGCGAGGGTCTGCATGGGATGGGATGGGGTCGGACGTGTGACGAGACGCGTGCGGGAAGCGGGCTGCTATTATTGGGGATGTCCGTGTCTCAGGCCGCTATCTAGGGTATGACCGTGGGGAAGAGGTCTGGGGAAATGCAAGCCGAGATATAATTTATAGTTTCACGGCTGCGGGATGGGCCGACGAGTCGGTGTTTCGGGCACTTCCTCGCCCTCGTCGTTCAGGAGGCGGTAGTGACAGACGATGGCAATGGTGCCATTTCTGGATCCAAGTCGTACGGTGTTCTCGCCTCCCTTATTATACCATCATCTCGCAGTCTCCTCGCTCCGTCGCCCAGAGTTTGTCGTCCCAGCGGACCCATAGAATCGGATCACCTACCCTTTTGCCGGCTCTGCTTTAATTTACAACCAGCATGTGCTCGGAGCAACAATGCCCTGGGACGGCTGATCCCGGGAATCCTCTTCCTGTCGCGCCTCGCTGGAGGCTGAAAAGCATTGGGGGTACGGGCGGCAAAGGCCAGATTAATCCGGACCTGCAGCATGGTTTAGTCGCGCTTAAAAAGAGGATCTTCAGAAGCGCAGGTAGCCGAGCTCGTTAGGGGGTTCGGGCTGACCACCGTTGAGGCGTTGCAGCAGGAGGGCGATCTTGTAGACGGCTCGTCGGGAAGGCATCCGAAGACAAGAGACGATCCGCGCTCTCAGGTGGGTACCGACACTCTACATACTGCCGGGCTCGTTGGTTGAAGCCGTCAATGTCATTCGCTTGAATCTTGAACTTGATGTCTCCTATGAAGCTCTTGGCGATCTTGACATGGCGCTTGCCTGACCGGGGAAACAGGCTATCCAATGCAACAGAATGTTCGACAACTGTTCCTTGCTGGCGGGCAGTGGTGTGTGTGTGTGTGTGTGAAATATTGGGACGACTCGATCAGAAAGTCAATGAGCGGCGCCTTTCCCTTGGGCGCGGGATGATATGAAGGCCCCTGAACACATATATTGCGCGGCTTGATATTATCCGGCAGTTAGCCTCCGAACAGCATGGATTGCACTGAGATCTCAGGGGCAGGCCTGTCATATTTGGGGGCGATTGTGGGGTCAAAGGAACGGATTCCGGGTGCAGCAACCAGGAGAATGTGATGTGATTGCCGATCATGGTGCCTGAAACGGCCCAGCTGCATCGCAGGAACTGGTGACGGGACTGACAACATGTTGGTGAAGAAGAGAGAGAAAAAGTAAAATGGTCCATCAATCATGGAGCTAGTTCTCAGCAGATAAGCTTAAAACCCACTGCCCATGGACGACTGTGTGGGGGTCCAGTGCAAAAGGAGGCTTGAATCAGGCTGCCGGGTCAAAATATGGCGGCTGAATTTAATTAGCCAGGGGCCAAAGGAAGAAGGTCCGATATTTAGAAAACGACAGTGGTTTTCCGGCTCTTCCTTCCGGATCATTGCTAGGCTGCGAGCTGCATTCCTGAGCCGAACAGAAAGTCAGCAGTTTTGATCCGTGGTCTAACAGGAGGTAAAGTAGGACAGGGATGTTGTTGTTCACATGCTCCCATGGCACACCTCCGATTCATCCTGCGCTGGGTAACAACCGTGTTGCCATGCAGTACCGTGCACTTCTCTGAATATATAAACTGGGCTCGCGTCTCCCGTCATTGACAGCCGCTCAATCTCGAAGTCCAGTTACCTATCTTCCACCAACAGCAATAAACCTCGGCGCAGAGGGGAAAGCGGTACCTAATCCTTATTCATTAGTCGTGGAATGAACAGACTGGTGTGATGTAGCAGACGAATGGAGTTGGGCCTCGTCGCTATAGCTAGAAAGTCGATAACGAGGGGCATCTTGTCGCAAAAAGGAGGAATGTTGAAAGCTGTGAGTGATGGGCGATACTGGTCGATGGCTACTGCAAGCAGAAACAGAACCCGGGAAAGCTGTCGGAACGGATGATTGATATATCATGTTCTCCAATAATCACCAAGGTGCTGGTTTTGGGGTCGATGAGGTCGATGGGGGCCCGGGGGGCGGTGCGAAGGGCAAAAAGAGGGTGAAAGCACCGAGGCTTGCCGAGGTTCGGTCATAGGGAGTGTCTCGCAACAATAACTGTTTTAGTTTGCAGTGTTTCCGTGGACGTGTGATATGATCCGAGGTCATGAGAGAAGAGGTATGCAATGGACGTTGTTGTGTACCTCCTGTCTAATAACTTAGATGTCTCTCAACCCAATGTTAAGTTATTCCCGCCAATCGCAAGCTACACTCGTTATGGCAAAGCCGGCCCCAAGTCAAGTTCCTGAGTCGTGTTTCACCAAGCGGTGGAGCCCGGCATTTGACACCGGAGAGACCGGGGCACATGGGATGTGGGACTCCTCCGGGTGTCCCGACGCAGCGTTGGCGCCGGCACTGCAGATCCTCATCCAATCGGCGGGATTCGATACCAGGATTCCCCATCCGAGGCATTCTTGGACCTGCTACGTTGGGAATCACAGTATCATTGGGAACTTGCCTGGACCCGGAATCAGTATACCTCTCCGCCTCCACCAGTCGCAACACTAGAGATGGTGAGGTTCTTGGCTGGGGATCGACACATGGCTAGTACGATCGTGGTATGGGTTGACCCCCGGCATTGGGACTCACCCCACGATCCGCCGTTTTGACAGTCAGATGAGGGAAACATCGAGGTCGCCAAGGGGTTTGAAGGGTCAAGTTCGGCGCATAAATAGGGGCCCGGAGGCATCGTTGATTGTTCTTCAACTTGGTGTTCGCCAGTCCTCCACTCACTTGCTCTTTTCGACGCAGCCTTGCCCGTCCTTCGTTCCAGTCGACAACGCTCGCCCACCGCAACCATGAAGTTCGTCCAGATCCTCAGTGCCGCTGGCCTCGCCGCTGCTCTCCCGGCCACCACACCCGCCAACGACATGGCCGATGTTATGGCCCGTCAGTGGGGCGGTTCTATCGGCAGCACCAAGAACGATCTGCAGAACGGCAACTCGGCGTCTTGCCCGAGTGTCATCTTCATCTTTGCCCGGGCTTCGACTGAGCGTGGCAACATGGTACATTTTCCCTTTGAGCTCCCTTCTCATCTCTCTTGGATCGTAACTTACACGGGTACACCCCGAACAGGGCTCAAGCACGGGACCTGCGGTGGCCAACGCGCTCGCAAAGACGTACAGGGACATGTGGGTGCAGGGCGTGGGCGGCCCCTACGACGCCACATTGGGCGACAACGCTCTCCCCGCGGGCACGTCCAAGGCAGCCATCGACGAGGCCGTGAAGATGTTCACCATGGCCCACGACAAGTGCCCCGACGCGGCCGTTGTTGCCGGCGGCTACAGCCAGGGCACGGCCGTCATGTCCAACTCGCTCGGCCAGCTGCCGGCCGAGGTGCAGGACCAGGTCAAGGGCGTCGTGCTCTTCGGCTACACCAAGAACGCCCAGAACGGCGGCAAGATCCCCGACTTCCCCGACGACAAGCTCAAGGTCTTTTGCAACACGGGCGACAGGGTCTGCACCGGATCCCTCGTCATCACCGCCGCTCACTTTGCCTACGGCGGGGTGGCCGGGAACGAGGCGCCGGCGTTCCTCAAGGAGAAGATTGGCAGCGTGTAAAGGGGGAAGGAATGACGACTACTTGTTTATAGTTCGATATTCAACCTAGTCCGTTCTATAAGAAGGTAGTAGCCAAGCATCTTTCCATATCTAATGGGCCCTCGGTTATCCTAGTACAATGTAACATGAAGATGGTAACTAGAGCCTTTAATGTAAATTGACGCTTAATTATCCAAGGTAATGTTCACTTGTTCTCGTCGAGAGTTTTAGAACTAATTTACTATACAGTAATGCCACCAAAGCAAACCCTTAACGTTGTCATTACAACCCCACTAACGTACTAGTAGTAAACCAATACCAAGAGTGTAATGGAAAGAAGTGGATAAAAAAAGGGAAAGGAAAATGGAATGATAATGAGAAAGGGGGTAGTTATGTGGTATGGTAATTACCCCTTTTCGAGATGCCCTGTGACGGAAAGCGCACCCAGGGTTGGGGTTAGAGGTGCACTTCCACATCCGGACTAGCTCCGTTCTGGGCATGCCTTCTCGCGTTGCCAACGCGCTATCTTGTATCTTTCCTCTCTTTCTTCAGCTTTCGATTAGCAGAATTGAGTCAGATACGCAGTGCCCTTGTGCCTCGCCTAGATGTGCCTGGAGGAACTCCAGGTGCCTGGAGGAAAACGTACGAGGAACGAGTACTTCCGGAAGGTTCCTTTGCCTGGAGGAACGTGCGAGGAACTAGTACTTCCGAAAGGTTCCTTTTCCGACAAAAACCATGATCCAAGCACGGACCACTTCCGCCCCATAAAACCTGCCCTGGATCTTCGCCGTGACGCTGCTGTCCTCTTTCTTCTGGACCTTCAATACCGCGTCGATCTCCTCGCGGCTGGGCAATCCCATGCCGCGGAAAGGCGAGTCTTGGAGGTCCTGTAACATGGTATAGAAATGGCGACCACGCTGGGCAGCATTGTTGTCGTCCTGGCTTGGGTCAACTGCCCTCGCCTCTTCGTCCAAGCGCCTCAGGGCCGAGGTCGCCGCCATATCCTTGATTTCGCTACGTCGGACCGCGGATAGGACATCCAGGAAGGCTTCGTGGTGGGCTTGCGGATTAATACTCTCCACGTCCTCACCGACGCCGTCATCGTCGCCCACTTGGTCGCCAAAGTCCAGTCCGTCCACGGCGTCCTCGGAGTCCTCTTCAAGGCCTTGCAGCTTTCGATCAGCACGGGCATCGTCCGCCGAGACGCGTAGCAGAGCGATGTTCTGGAAGTGTGAGCGGATTCGGGCGCCCAGCTGCCCCTCGAGCGATCGCCAAAGTCCTGGTATATCGTCCGCTGGCTCAGCCTGAAACCTTCCCATGGAACGAAGAGGGCAAGGTGCAGGACTGCGTTTCTGTATGTGACTTGTAAGCAGTTTTCTTTTACGCCAAGATGACCCTGATACCTACCTCTACAAATTTCTCGTCCTGCTCAAACTTACCTTCCAAGGCGTAGGCGTTAATAGATAGGAGACAGACGAAACCCACTCCGTACAGGTGGCGCTGACACTGCCCAGTGATGGCGGCTTGACTCCGTACGCCCCATTATTTTGCGCTGGAGCAGGACCTGGCTGCTAACACTTCCAAGTGTCATCCCCCGCCAGCTCGGTGGTCCCGACCAGACAGCTCCTTGGCCAAGCACTTCAGCACATGTGTCCTTTGCCGGCCCCGTCGAGCTAGATACCTTTCATATCAAGCAAGGAGTCTGGCCGGAGCCGCTGGTCAAGACTTCGGTGTTCGCCAAACTCGGGTCTTACTTGCAGCCAGAGAACGACCGCCCTCCTCGCAAAGGCATACACATATGCCACGTCCTCGTTCTCTTCCCCGTCGACCAGCAACCCTGGAAGTCTCTGGCCGGGTGGATGCGGACCGCCGCAAACCCCTTTCCCAAGGGATCGTGGATCGCGTGCAGTGGTCGACTCCTGGGGGTCCTAGACCGCGACCTGATCCAAGGCCCTCGGAAAGTCGATCCCACTTTTCGAATTCTGGTGATTCTCGCCGACAATTGGGAACTCATTCGGCAGAATTCCCCGTCAACCAACAATACACCCACGCCGAAATCATCGGACCCTGTCGGCAACTTGCCAACGACACCACGATCGGCTGGCCCCGGAGCAGTCGCAAGCAGAAACCCGTTCTCTTCACTAGGCCGTGCTCAAAATCCCACTTCCTCGCCTCAGAATCCATCTTCCTCGCCGGTTGCCCCAGAAACCGCAGAACGCGAAGCGACCGAACCACCATCCAGCCCTGGAGCACAGCTAGACTCGATCACGGCTGATCCCGATCAGATGCCCACAGGTTCATCTTCAGGTATATATCACCGCCTTCCACAGTCACGGCTCACCTAACTATTGATCTACATGGCGACGACTCGAACGATGCTTCGGACACAGAAGAATTATTGGACGCTCAACCCGTTTCGAGCAGCAGGACCCCGACAAAGAAAAGAAAGGAACCAAGCTCTCCGGAACCGGCCAGAAGCAAGAGATCCACAGCGGGAAGAAGGCGCGGCTGTATGACTAGCTTTTGAGGTTGACCAAAGAACTGCTTTTGCTTGCTTTCCCAACATTCGTCAACCGTCCTAAAACTGATCGACCAACCATATTCTGATGCCGCTATGGGTTACCTGCGCCGGCCCGTTCCTCCAGGCTTCCTTTGGCGGAGCCCGCGCGCAGCGGGCACGGTCACTCTTGTTTCGAACTATTGTCCACTTTTTTTCCACTTTAAATCCACTTTAAAACGGTGTCATTGTTAACCTGTAACTGTCGACTTCTCACTGTAGAATTTTGGCTTTTTCTTCCTTTCGATTTCTCTCGATGGCATCTCGACGTCTGGCGTCATCTGCATCTGCTTCGTCGAATCAGCATCTCTCAGTTGGTCTTGGCGGTGGAAGGTGCACGGACCGTTGTTGCTTTGTTCTGGCCAATAAAATCGCCGAAAAAAAGCCGCTTACCCGCACTTTGGCATCAGGGCCCCTGTGACTCGCTGCTTCGCTCGTGCCTTTGCGTGCCTCCGTCGCGCAATCCTCGACAATCACGAACCAAGAAATTAAGTTTCTGTCAAAAAGTGGCGGAAATGAGGTTTTATGGTCGACATCTATTATGGGTTGACTATTACTACTAGAGCGACGTACCCGCATCTTCGTCAGCAGCTTCAGCAGCCTGCGCTAATTCAGGCATGGCGTCCCATTCCTGAAACCACGGCTCGTGCCTGTGGTCTTGCTCGAACCGCCGTCTGGTCTCCTCACCCTGTCGTTCCAGCTTGAGGATGGCGTCCCTCATGTCTTTATCAAGCACGTTCTTCGGCTCGATGAAGTCACTGCGCGCCGGCTTCCGAAACAGATGCAGCCCGTCCCAGCTCTGCGCCCTCGACAGCTGCACGTACAAGCTCATGAAACTGGGCCGAGTCGCTGTGCCGCCGCCGCGTACGCCTTTCAGGTTGACGAGGACGTCTGAGAACTGCTTTCACTGGCTCTTCTGATCCGTCATGGCGAAGGCCGGCGTGCAAAGAGGTCCCGTTCTGTGGGTGACCCACCGAAAACCCGGCTTGCCCCTCCATCCGCCCTCCTTGCCCCGCATTTGGCTCGGGATGGCGACCGTCTTGCTCTTGAATAAGATGATGCCGTTGGGGAGCCCGGGGATGGCGAGGCCCGCGCTATCGTCTGACTGAAGGAGGGAAGCCACCGGCGGTCCAAGATGAAGAGTCACATCGCTGGCGAGGGCGATGGTGCCGGCGGCGGGATCGGGGAAGATGTCGACGGCCTTGAAAGGTGCCCCGTTGACGACCTTCAGCCCAATAAACTGGTTCTGAGTCACCACGACCGGCATCCCCTGCGCGTAGAAGAACAGGCCGGGGGGTTGGCAGCTGCGAGTTGTCTCCGTGGCGGAGCACGTCGCCCCAGCTCTTCGACGCGCAGCCGCTTCGCCGATTCGGTGTCATGCTTGGCTACAAAGATGGAGATGTGTTTGCCGCAGGGCACGGGCCCACTGGACGACGGCTGCCCTGTTCAGGTCCCACCGGTATTGGTTCAGGGGCGTGATGGCTCTCAGACCGTCTACGAAGGACGCCTTGCACTACGGTGTATAAAGGCGTTGACTGAGCCGCTGGAAGTCCAGCTCGGTCTGCTCGCCGTTGCGCAGGCGCCCGAGGAAGCCCCGAAGCCTTGGGCAACCATCCGCGCGGACCTGCTCCTGGAGGATGACAACGGTTGTGAACTGGAGGAACAGCCTGTGCGCTGCGAGATGCTTCACCAAGCTTTCCGGTCTCTGTCCGCCACGGTCCCTGGGCGCCGGCAAGAGGAGGCTGGTCTGCAGGACGGGGTCGAACTGGAAGAAGTCCCCGAAGAACAGGACCATTGGGATCCCACCAAACGGGCGATAACCCTCTCCCGAGCCAATCAGAAGCAAGAGGTCTACAGCGGGAAAAAAGAGGACGCGACTGTACGATTCGACGCTAGTCTGACTGGAGAAACCACCTTTCCTTGCTTTTCCCAGCATTCGTCAATAACCATCATGAAATGGAAAAATAAAAAAAGACAATTACATCGTTGACTCCGCTATGGGGCCTACCTGCAGCCGGGCAAGTTCCTCCAGGCTTCCTTTGGCGTGCCCGCGCGCAGCGGGCACGGTCACTCCTGTTACTCGTCCCTCACATTTCCGTTCCGGGTACTACTAGCCTTCCACGAAAACCCATTAACATCTAATCAAACAGCCCGATTAGCTCAGCTGGTTAGAGCGTCGTACTAATACCGGGAAACCCGTATAAGGTATGCCGAAGGTCAACAGTTCAATCCTGTTATTGGGCATTTGCTTTTGCGCTTTTGCACTTTTGCAGTCTTCTGTTTGGATGCATGTGCACAGCTCGGCAAACAACACAACATGGGCTGTGTCTGAACTCCGAACGACGAGTTTCTTTTACGCTTGACCATTTGCTGGCTGTTGCCTAGATTATTACCACCGATGCGCAACCTCGATTATATTTTCAGCCGCAGACCGTCTAGTAATCTAGTCAACGGGTCCTGACCGCTTCCCACATTCAAGTTTTCAGCAACAACATACCACCACCAACAAAAACCAAACAACGCAAACGACAATGAAACTCGTCAAAATCAACACCCTCCTCGTCAAAGCAGCCAAGCGCCACCACGACACCCCCCAACAAGCCTTCAACACCTCCTTCCACCCCGCCGCATCGGCGCCCGACCTCCCCCGACCCGACGAGGCACCCTACTCCTTCAAGCGCTGGCTCCCCCTAATCCTCCAAACCCGCCAACACCCCATCCCCGTCCCCGCCCCCAAAACCCCCTACCCCTTCCACCACTGGCTCCCCCAGCTCACCCGACAACCACCCACCACCACCACCCCCTTTACCAACCACGCCTCACCCCCCATCACGACCACGACCACGACCACCCCCACCCCAACCCTCACCACAGTACCCCCCTCCAAACAATATCCTCACCCCCCCCCAAA